TTTTTTTTTTTTTTTTTTTTTTTTTTTTTTTTTTTTTTTTTTTTTTTTTTTTTTTTTTTTTTTTTTTTTTTTTTTTTTTTTTTTTTTTTTTTTTTTTTTTTTTTTTTTTTTTTTTTTTTTTTTTTTTTTTTTTTTTTTTTTTTTTTTTTTTTTTTTTTTTTTTTTTTTTTTTTTTTTTTTTTTTTTTTTTTTTTTTTTTTTTTTTTTTTTTTTTTTTTTTTTTTTTTTTTTTTTTTTTTTTTTTTTTTTTTTTTTTTTTTTTTTTTTTTTTTTTTTTTTTTTTTTTTTTTTTTTTTTTTTTTTTTTTTTTTTTTTTCACAAAAACCCAAATTTCTAACCAAAAATTCATCTCACCAAACACACTTCATTTCACCAAAAAAAATTCTCAAAAACACCCTTCAAACCCCCCCAAACCCACCACAAAACCCTTTCCTTTAAACTTCCCCCACTTCAAAAACAATCCCCAAAAACAACAACCCCCGAAAAAAACCCCTAAAATTTTCCTTTTCCTAAAAAAAAATTTCCAAAAAATTCTTAAACAAAACCCCCCCTTTAACAAACCCCCCACCTCATAAAAAACCTTTCCCAAAAACCCCCTTTTCCAAAACTAAAATTTTAAACAAAACCCTTCACCCCAAAACCCTTCCCTCAAAAAAATTCCCCCAACAAAACCCCTTCTTTCATACCCAAAATTTTCCCCAACAACCCTTCACCACGCAAAAACCCCCCTCAACCCCCCACCCCAAACCCTAGCTCCTTCTAGCCCACCCAACCAACCCTTCCTTCCCCAAAAACACTCCTTCATCCCTCATCCAACCAAAACAAAAACCCCTTTTCCCTTTCCATACCAAAAACAACTTCCTTTCCCCCAAACAACAAAAACCCCTTCTGTCACGCCAACAATTTTCCCCACCCTCCACCAAGCCATCCGTAAAAAAAACCCCTTCCCGTTAAACAAGCAAAACATCACTAAACCCCAAAACGCTTCTGCTATCTGCCAAACTCTTAAAACCCCCACCCCTTTCAAGCTCACAGTACAACACCCTTTCCCATTTTCTCGCAAAACATCCTCAAAAAACAACGCTTCAGCTATTCCCAAAAAACTTCTTAAACCCCACCACTCCTCAAGCTCTGTACAAAACACCTTCCATTTCATAAAGCAAATTCTCCAAAAAAACCCCTTCTGCTATCTACAAAAACCCCCTTCCCAAACCACCCCCAAGTCATCCAGTCAACAACCCTTCCAGTTCTCAAGCACAAATCACCCAAAAACCCCCCTTTTGCTCTCAGCAAAACAATTTTTCCCCCAAAAACCCCAAAAAGCTCTCCGTAAAAAACATTTCCCAGTTCTCAAGCAAACCCTTTCCCTCAACAAAAAACGCTTCTGTCTCTCCCCAAAAAAAACTTTTCCCCCCACCCTCCTCAAGTTCCAGTACAAAAAACCTTCCAGTTCTAAAAGCCCAACTACCCTCAAAAAACCCCTTTTAGTCTTACACAAAACTTCTTAAAACCCCCATCCATCAAGTATCCGTACAAAAAACACTTCCCCGTTCATCAAGACAACATTCCTCAACAAAAAAGCCTTTAGTCATAAAAACCACCTTTTAAACCAATCCTTCAAGCTCTCCGTACAAAAAAACCCCCCTTCATTTTCATCAACACAATTTTCATTAAAACACAACCCCCTTCTGCTTAGCACAAAACTTCTTAACCCCCCCCCTCAAGCTCATCCAGTACAAAAACCCCCTTGTTCAAAAAGCACAACATTCCTCAACAACAACCCCTTCTCATCTGCACAAAACTTTTTTCAACCCCATCCATCAAGTCCCCCGTACAACACCTTCCCAGTTCTCGCACCTCATCTCAAAACAACCCTTCTGCTATTAGACAACAATTCTTAACCCCCTCCAAGCTCTCGTAAAAAAACACTTCGTTCATCAACCCAAAAAATCATCCCAAACCAACCAAAACCCCCCCCGCCATTAGCCCAACAACTTCAAAACACCACTCCTAAATTTCATCCAGTAAACAACACCTTCCAGTTCATCAAGCACAACTCTCCCAACAAAGCCTTCTAGTTTAGAAAAAACACTTCTTCACACCACCCTCAAGCTCATCCGACAAACAACCCCCTTCCATTTCATCAAGCACAACATCTCCTCAAAAAACAACGCCTTTAGTCATCTAGACAAAATTCTTAAACACCCCCCTTCAAGTCACCGTACAACAACACTTCCCATTTCAAAACCCAAAAACATCATCCTAACAACAACCCCTTTCTAGTCTTAGCAAACCTCTTAAACCCACCATCCTCAAGCCATCCGTCAACCCCCTTTCCCAGTTCATAAAGCACAACATCTCCCAAACAACAACCCTTCTGCTCTCTGAAAACCCCTTCTTACCCCCCCTAACACCCTTTCCAAACCCTTCCGTTCCCCTAAACAAAATTTTTTCCTAAAAACAACCCCCCTTCTAGGACTAAAAACCCTTACACCACCCCCTTTCAAAAAAAACCGACCAAAACCCTAAACTCTCCATACAAAAAAAACCCTTCAGTTCATAAGCACAACTTCCTCAACAAAACGCCTTTAGTTTGAAAAAAATTCTTAACCCCACCCCATCAAGTCACCCTAAAAAACCCCTTTCCAGTTATAAAGAAAAACTACCCTCAAAAACCAGCCTTTGCTATCTGCAAAAACTTTTTAACCACCATCATCAGCTATCGTCAACAAAACTTCCAGTTCTTCAAGCAAAACATCTCCTCAACAAAAAACCCTTTGTCATTTCCCAAAACAATTCTTAAACCCACCACTCCAAAAGTTTCATCCAGTACAAAAACCCCTTCGTTCATCAGCACAACATCCCTCAAAAAAAAACGTTTAGTCTCACCCAACACTTCTTCAACCACCACTCCATCAAGCTCATCCAGTACAACAACACCTTCCAGTTCATCAAGCACAACATCATCCTCAACAACAACGCCTTCTAGCTCATCTAGCACAACAACTTCTTCAACCACCACTCCATCAAGCTCATCCAGTACAACAACACCTTCCAGTTCATCAAGCACAACATCATCCTCAACAACAACGCCTTCTAGCTCATCTAGCACAACAACTTCTTCAACCACCACTCCATCAAGCTCATCCAGTACAACAACACCTTCCAGTTCATCAAGCACAACATCATCCTCAACAACAACGCCTTCTAGCTCATCTAGCACAACAACTTCTTCAACCACCACTCCATCAAGCTCATCCAGTACAACAACACCTTCCAGTTCATCAAGCACAACATCATCCTCAACAACAACGCCTTCTAGCTCATCTAGCACAACAACTTCTTCAACCACCACTCCATCAAGCTCATCCAGTACAACAACACCTTCCAGTTCATCAAGCACAACATCATCCTCAACAACAACGCCTTCTAGCTCATCTAGCACAACAACTTCTTCAACCACCACTCCATCAAGCTCATCCAGTACAACAACACCTTCCAGTTCATCAAGCACAACATCATCCTCAACAACAACGCCTTCTAGCTCATCTAGCACAACAACTTCTTCAACCACCACTCCATCAAGCTCATCCAGTACAACAACACCTTCCAGTTCATCAAGCACAACATCATCCTCAACAACAACGCCTTCTAGCTCATCTAGCACAACAACTTCTTCAACCACCACTCCATCAAGCTCATCCAGTACAACAACACCTTCCAGTTCATCAAGCACAACATCATCCTCAACAACAACGCCTTCTAGCTCATCTAGCACAACAACTTCTTCAACCACCACTCCATCAAGCTCATCCAGTACAACAACACCTTCCAGTTCATCAAGCACAACATCATCCTCAACAACAACGCCTTCTAGCTCATCTAGCACAACAACTTCTTCAACCACCACTCCATCAAGCTCATCCAGTACAACAACACCTTCCAGTTCATCAAGCACAACATCATCCTCAACAACAACGCCTTCTAGCTCATCTAGCACAACAACTTCTTCAACCACCACTCCATCAAGCTCATCCAGTACAACAACACCTTCCAGTTCATCAAGCACAACATCATCCTCAACAACAACGCCTTCTAGCTCATCTAGCACAACAACTTCTTCAACCACCACTCCATCAAGCTCATCCAGTACAACAACACCTTCCAGTTCATCAAGCACAACATCATCCTCAACAACAACGCCTTCTAGCTCATCTAGCACAACAACTTCTTCAACCACCACTCCATCAAGCTCATCCAGTACAACAACACCTTCCAGTTCATCAAGCACAACATCATCCTCAACAACAACGCCTTCTAGCTCATCTAGCACAACAACTTCTTCAACCACCACTCCATCAAGCTCATCCAGTACAACAACACCTTCCAGTTCATCAAGCACAACATCATCCTCAACAACAACGCCTTCTAGCTCATCTAGCACAACAACTTCTTCAACCACCACTCCATCAAGCTCATCCAGTACAACAACACCTTCCAGTTCATCAAGCACAACATCATCCTCAACAACAACGCCTTCTAGCTCATCTAGCACAACAACTTCTTCAACCACCACTCCATCAAGCTCATCCAGTACAACAACACCTTCCAGTTCATCAAGCACAACATCATCCTCAACAACAACGCCTTCTAGCTCATCTAGCACAACAACTTCTTCAACCACCACTCCATCAAGCTCATCCAGTACAACAACACCTTCCAGTTCATCAAGCACAACATCATCCTCAACAACAACGCCTTCTAGCTCATCTAGCACAACAACTTCTTCAACCACCACTCCATCAAGCTCATCCAGTACAACAACACCTTCCAGTTCATCAAGCACAACATCATCCTCAACAACAACGCCTTCTAGCTCATCTAGCACAACAACTTCTTCAACCACCACTCCATCAAGCTCATCCAGTACAACAACACCTTCCAGTTCATCAAGCACAACATCATCCTCAACAACAACGCCTTCTAGCTCATCTAGCACAACAACTTCTTCAACCACCACTCCATCAAGCTCATCCAGTACAACAACACCTTCCAGTTCATCAAGCACAACATCATCCTCAACAACAACGCCTTCTAGCTCATCTAGCACAACAACTTCTTCAACCACCACTCCATCAAGCTCATCCAGTACAACAACACCTTCCAGTTCATCAAGCACAACATCATCCTCAACAACAACGCCTTCTAGCTCATCTAGCACAACAACTTCTTCAACCACCACTCCATCAAGCTCATCCAGTACAACAACACCTTCCAGTTCATCAAGCACAACATCATCCTCAACAACAACGCCTTCTAGCTCATCTAGCACAACAACTTCTTCAACCACCACTCCATCAAGCTCATCCAGTACAACAACACCTTCCAGTTCATCAAGCACAACATCATCCTCAACAACAACGCCTTCTAGCTCATCTAGCACAACAACTTCTTCAACCACCACTCCATCAAGCTCATCCAGTACAACAACACCTTCCAGTTCATCAAGCACAACATCATCCTCAACAACAACGCCTTCTAGCTCATCTAGCACAACAACTTCTTCAACCACCACTCCATCAAGCTCATCCAGTACAACAACACCTTCCAGTTCATCAAGCACAACATCATCCTCAACAACAACGCCTTCTAGCTCATCTAGCACAACAACTTCTTCAACCACCACTCCATCAAGCTCATCCAGTACAACAACACCTTCCAGTTCATCAAGCACAACATCATCCTCAACAACAACGCCTTCTAGCTCATCTAGCACAACAACTTCTTCAACCACCACTCCATCAAGCTCATCCAGTACAACAACACCTTCCAGTTCATCAAGCACAACATCATCCTCAACAACAACGCCTTCTAGCTCATCTAGCACAACAACTTCTTCAACCACCACTCCATCAAGCTCATCCAGTACAACAACACCTTCCAGTTCATCAAGCACAACATCATCCTCAACAACAACGCCTTCTAGCTCATCTAGCACAACAACTTCTTCAACCACCACTCCATCAAGCTCATCCAGTACAACAACACCTTCCAGTTCATCAAGCACAACATCATCCTCAACAACAACGCCTTCTAGCTCATCTAGCACAACAACTTCTTCAACCACCACTCCATCAAGCTCATCCAGTACAACAACACCTTCCAGTTCATCAAGCACAACATCATCCTCAACAACAACGCCTTCTAGCTCATCTAGCACAACAACTTCTTCAACCACCACTCCATCAAGCTCATCCAGTACAACAACACCTTCCAGTTCATCAAGCACAACATCATCCTCAACAACAACGCCTTCTAGCTCATCTAGCACAACAACTTCTTCAACCACCACTCCATCAAGCTCATCCAGTACAACAACACCTTCCAGTTCATCAAGCACAACATCATCCTCAACAACAACGCCTTCTAGCTCATCTAGCACAACAACTTCTTCAACCACCACTCCATCAAGCTCATCCAGTACAACAACACCTTCCAGTTCATCAAGCACAACATCATCCTCAACAACAACGCCTTCTAGCTCATCTAGCACAACAACTTCTTCAACCACCACTCCATCAAGCTCATCCAGTACAACAACACCTTCCAGTTCATCAAGCACAACATCATCCTCAACAACAACGCCTTCTAGCTCATCTAGCACAACAACTTCTTCAACCACCACTCCATCAAGCTCATCCAGTACAACAACACCTTCCAGTTCATCAAGCACAACATCATCCTCAACAACAACGCCTTCTAGCTCATCTAGCACAACAACTTCTTCAACCACCACTCCATCAAGCTCATCCAGTACAACAACACCTTCCAGTTCATCAAGCACAACATCATCCTCAACAACAACGCCTTCTAGCTCATCTAGCACAACAACTTCTTCAACCACCACTCCATCAAGCTCATCCAGTACAACAACACCTTCCAGTTCATCAAGCACAACATCATCCTCAACAACAACGCCTTCTAGCTCATCTAGCACAACAACTTCTTCAACCACCACTCCATCAAGCTCATCCAGTACAACAACACCTTCCAGTTCATCAAGCACAACATCATCCTCAACAACAACGCCTTCTAGCTCATCTAGCACAACAACTTCTTCAACCACCACTCCATCAAGCTCATCCAGTACAACAACACCTTCCAGTTCATCAAGCACAACATCATCCTCAACAACAACGCCTTCTAGCTCATCTAGCACAACAACTTCTTCAACCACCACTCCATCAAGCTCATCCAGTACAACAACACCTTCCAGTTCATCAAGCACAACATCATCCTCAACAACAACGCCTTCTAGCTCATCTAGCACAACAACTTCTTCAACCACCACTCCATCAAGCTCATCCAGTACAACAACACCTTCCAGTTCATCAAGCACAACATCATCCTCAACAACAACGCCTTCTAGCTCATCTAGCACAACAACTTCTTCAACCACCACTCCATCAAGCTCATCCAGTACAACAACACCTTCCAGTTCATCAAGCACAACATCATCCTCAACAACAACGCCTTCTAGCTCATCTAGCACAACAACTTCTTCAACCACCACTCCATCAAGCTCATCCAGTACAACAACACCTTCCAGTTCATCAAGCACAACATCATCCTCAACAACAACGCCTTCTAGCTCATCTAGCACAACAACTTCTTCAACCACCACTCCATCAAGCTCATCCAGTACAACAACACCTTCCAGTTCATCAAGCACAACATCATCCTCAACAACAACGCCTTCTAGCTCATCTAGCACAACAACTTCTTCAACCACCACTCCATCAAGCTCATCCAGTACAACAACACCTTCCAGTTCATCAAGCACAACATCATCCTCAACAACAACGCCTTCTAGCTCATCTAGCACAACAACTTCTTCAACCACCACTCCATCAAGCTCATCCAGTACAACAACACCTTCCAGTTCATCAAGCACAACATCATCCTCAACAACAACGCCTTCTAGCTCATCTAGCACAACAACTTCTTCAACCACCACTCCATCAAGCTCATCCAGTACAACAACACCTTCCAGTTCATCAAGCACAACATCATCCTCAACAACAACGCCTTCTAGCTCATCTAGCACAACAACTTCTTCAACCACCACTCCATCAAGCTCATCCAGTACAACAACACCTTCCAGTTCATCAAGCACAACATCATCCTCAACAACAACGCCTTCTAGCTCATCTAGCACAACAACTTCTTCAACCACCACTCCATCAAGCTCATCCAGTACAACAACACCTTCCAGTTCATCAAGCACAACATCATCCTCAACAACAACGCCTTCTAGCTCATCTAGCACAACAACTTCTTCAACCACCACTCCATCAAGCTCATCCAGTACAACAACACCTTCCAGTTCATCAAGCACAACATCATCCTCAACAACAACGCCTTCTAGCTCATCTAGCACAACAACTTCTTCAACCACCACTCCATCAAGCTCATCCAGTACAACAACACCTTCCAGTTCATCAAGCACAACATCATCCTCAACAACAACGCCTTCTAGCTCATCTAGCACAACAACTTCTTCAACCACCACTCCATCAAGCTCATCCAGTACAACAACACCTTCCAGTTCATCAAGCACAACATCATCCTCAACAACAACGCCTTCTAGCTCATCTAGCACAACAACTTCTTCAACCACCACTCCATCAAGCTCATCCAGTACAACAACACCTTCCAGTTCATCAAGCACAACATCATCCTCAACAACAACGCCTTCTAGCTCATCTAGCACAACAACTTCTTCAACCACCACTCCATCAAGCTCATCCAGTACAACAACACCTTCCAGTTCATCAAGCACAACATCATCCTCAACAACAACGCCTTCTAGCTCATCTAGCACAACAACTTCTTCAACCACCACTCCATCAAGCTCATCCAGTACAACAACACCTTCCAGTTCATCAAGCACAACATCATCCTCAACAACAACGCCTTCTAGCTCATCTAGCACAACAACTTCTTCAACCACCACTCCATCAAGCTCATCCAGTACAACAACACCTTCCAGTTCATCAAGCACAACATCATCCTCAACAACAACGCCTTCTAGCTCATCTAGCACAACAACTTCTTCAACCACCACTCCATCAAGCTCATCCAGTACAACAACACCTTCCAGTTCATCAAGCACAACATCATCCTCAACAACAACGCCTTCTAGCTCATCTAGCACAACAACTTCTTCAACCACCACTCCATCAAGCTCATCCAGTACAACAACACCTTCCAGTTCATCAAGCACAACATCATCCTCAACAACAACGCCTTCTAGCTCATCTAGCACAACAACTTCTTCAACCACCACTCCATCAAGCTCATCCAGTACAACAACACCTTCCAGTTCATCAAGCACAACATCATCCTCAACAACAACGCCTTCTAGCTCATCTAGCACAACAACTTCTTCAACCACCACTCCATCAAGCTCATCCAGTACAACAACACCTTCCAGTTCATCAAGCACAACATCATCCTCAACAACAACGCCTTCTAGCTCATCTAGCACAACAACTTCTTCAACCACCACTCCATCAAGCTCATCCAGTACAACAACACCTTCCAGTTCATCAAGCACAACATCATCCTCAACAACAACGCCTTCTAGCTCATCTAGCACAACAACTTCTTCAACCACCACTCCATCAAGCTCATCCAGTACAACAACACCTTCCAGTTCATCAAGCACAACATCATCCTCAACAACAACGCCTTCTAGCTCATCTAGCACAACAACTTCTTCAACCACCACTCCATCAAGTCATCAGTACAACAACACCTTCCAGTTCATCAAGCACAACATCATCCTCAACAACAACGCCCCTTCTAGCTCATCTAGCACAACAACTTCTTCAACCACCACTCCCTACAGCTCATCCAGTACAAAACACCTTCCAGTTCCTCAGCACAACATCATCCTCAACAACAACGCCTTCTAGCTCATCTAGCACAACAACTTCTTCAACACCACTCCATCAAGCTCATCCAGTACACAACACCTTCCGTTCATCAAGCACAACATCATCCTCAACAAACAACTCCTTCTAGCTCATCTAGACAACAACTTTCTTCAACCACACTCCATCAAGCTCATCCAGTACAACAACACCTTCCAGTTCATCAAGCACCAACATCATCCTCAACAACAACGCCTTCTAGTCATCTAGCACAACAACTTCTTCAACCACCACTCCATCAAGCTCATCCAGTACAACAACACCTTCAGTTCATCAAGCACAACATCATCCTCAACAACAACGCCTTCTAGCTCATCTAGCACAACAACTTCTTCAACCCACTCCTCAAGTCATCCAGTACAACAACACCTTCCAGTTCATCAAGCACAACACATCCTCAACACACAACGCCTTCTAGCTCATCTAGCACAACACCTTCTTCAACCACCACTCCATCACAGTCATCCGACAAAACCCTTCCGTCTAGCAAACTCCTACACAACCCTTCTAGCTCATCTAGCACAACAATTCTTCAACAACTCACATCAGTTAACACACCTCAGCAGACCACTCCAACAACGTCTATTCCAACTTCACCATCATCACATCCTCAAAACACCTTCATCATCACAATCCTCAACAAAGCAAAACAACACCTTCAACCTCATCACATCAACAAACCCTCAGTCATCAAGCACACATCTCCTCAACACAACGCCTCAGCTACTAGCAAAAACTTCTTAACCACTCACAGTCACCGTACACAACCCTTCCAGTTCTCAGCACAACATCATCCTCACAACAAGCCTCTAGCTATCTGCCAACAATTCAACCACACTCCATCAGTCTCCAGTACAACACACCTTCAGTTATCAAGCACAACATCATCTCAACAAAAACGCCTCTAGCTCATCTGCACAACAACTTCTTACCCCCCCACAAGCATCCAGTCAAAACACTTCAGTCATCAGCACAAATTCCTCAACAACAACGCTTGTCATAGCACACAACCTTCACACACTCCATCAACTTCAGTACAACAACCCTCAGTTCACACACACTCATCCTCACAACACGCTTCTAGTATCTAGCACAACACTTCTTCAACCCACTCTCAAGCTCTCCGTAAACAACACCTTCCAGTCATCAAGCACAAACATCCTCAACACACGCCTTCTAGTCACTACACAACTTCTTCACCCTCCTCAAGTACCAGTACAAACACTCATCATCAAGCCAACATCATCCTCAACAAAGCTCAGCTCTCTAGCACAACAACTTCTTCACCACCACTCTAAGTCATCCAACACAACACCTTCCGTCTCAGAAACTCATCTCAACAACAACGCCTTTCTTCTAACCAACCCTTACCACCACCCACGCTCATCCGTACAACACCCTTCAGTTCTCAAGACAAATCTCTCACAACAACGCCCTGTCATAGCAAACAACTTTAACACCACTCATCAACCACAGACAAAACACCTCAGTCTCAAGACAACATCTCCAACACAAGCCTCATATTGAAACAATTCTTAACCACCACTCATCAGTCACCGTAAACAACCTTCTTCAAGCCACATCACTCACAACAAGCCACATCACACACACCCAACCCCCCACTCACCTACAACACCTATCATCAAACAACACCACAACAACTAACACCAACACTCCACCACACAACACCATCCACCTCGCCCCACATATCCCAAACACCTCCCCCCACAACATCCCCCCTCCACATCACCACACTCCCCCCAACAACCCCCACCCACCATCTCCACCTCCCCCCCCCCCCATCCACACCTAAACTCCTCAACAACAACGCCAACACTCACCACCTCACAACACATCAACCACCACATCCAACCTCTCAACATTCACCCCAACCTAACCACACTCACACACCAACAACACACCTCCAACAACACAACAACCAAACAACCCCACCCACCCAATCTCAACCACCACCACATCCTACAACAATCCACCACAACTCACAACACCTCTACTTCTCACAACAATCTTCACCACCACCATCAGTTCCGCAACACATAGTCCACTACCAACAAACTTTACCATACCAAAACTTCAAACCTCATCTTCCATCAACATCATTCACACACAATCCCAACACGCCAGACCAAACACCTTCAACTCTCACACACAACAACTCCATCACCACAATCCAACAACCTCACCTCACAACAACCCCACTCTCAAAACCAACAACCCATACAACCACCACTCAACCCGTCTCAACCAAACCACCACCTACCCGCAACAATCACAACATCATCTCAACAACAACCTTCAGTACTGCACACACTTCTTCAACACCATCCACAAGATCAACAAACCTCCAGTTCATCAACACAACATCTCTCAACAACACGCTTTACTACTACACAACACCTTAACCACTCATCGCTCATCCTCAAACCCCACACACACAACATTCCTCAACAACAACCCTTCAGCTCTCTCCAACTCTTCAACCATCACTCTCCAACCCTCGCACAACACAACCTTCAACAAACCCCCTATAACACCAACCACCCTCCATCCTAACAAATCACAACAACTCTTCACACCCTCTATATCAACATAACACCACAACCATGTACACCATCCAAAACAACTCCAACAAAACGCCTTCCTATCTAAACAATTCTCAACCCCACCAAGCTCATCCCAACAACCCCCCACACAATCTCCAACAACACGCCTAGCTATCACACCAACTTCTCAACCCCACTCCAAGCCACCTACAACAACCTCCATTAAAACAATCACACCATCCCACCACCACCACCCCCTCATCACAGCCCAACACTTCATCAACACACATCATCCCAAAACAACCTGCTATCACCAACAACCAACACCTCCATCAACATCAACACACACCCCAAACCCCCTCACAACAATCATACAACAAAACCCAACCACCACTCATCAAGTTCAACCACCCTTCCGTCATCAACACCACATCACAACAACCTCATCATCCACACACTCACACCCTCCATCACACCATACAAAAACCTCCATAACACAAATACCACAACACCTCTACTCCACTACAAAATTCTAACCAACTCCATCAGTCATCTACACAAACCTTCCAGTCTCACCAATCATCCCAACACCCCTTTCTCTCTAACAACACTTCTCACACCACCCACACTCATCCTCAACACACCTTCATCATCAACAAACACATCCCAACAACACCCTTTTCATCACCAAACTTCAACCACCCCATCACTCTCCAGTACAACAACCCTCAGTTCCAGCCACCATCCTCACAACAACTCTACTCCTCTACCAACAACTCTTCAACCACCACTCATCAGCTATCCGTACAACAACCCTCCGTAACCAACCACCCAACAACCCTGCTTCTGCACAACACCTCACCCACCATCATCAGCCTCATACACAAACCTTCCAGTCTCAAGCACAACTCACCTCACACACCTTCTAGTCATCTAGCCAACAACTTTCACCACCCATCCTTCACAACACACTCCGCTAGACCACTCCAACCACGTCTACTCTCCAACAAACTCCAACACACACTACACAACAACCCCCACCACACACACTCATCCCCCACCCACATTACACACTCTAAACCCCCATCTCTCCACTACAACAAACCCTCAACACAACCCTTCACTCACTACACAACACAAACCACACACCAACAATTTACAACCTACAACCCCCCCAACTCAACAACACCCAACCCCCTCACAACACACACCACCCCAAACCCCACCCCTCCCACTAAACAATACACAAAAACAACAACACATCACATCAACAACACCCCCAACACATACCCCACCATCTAAACTCCACACCAACACCCCCTTAACCACTCCCACAATCAACCCAAAACCTACTACCAACACCAACAACACCAACACACATCACCTCACACAACCCACACCAACAACCCCCACCCACATCACTCAAACACCCTACAACACTCCCACAACAACCCCCTCAAACTCACACACTCAACCCCAAAAACCCACATAACCTAAAACCCACCAAACATCCAACACCACCCACCTCAACAAACTCCAACCAAAACCCCCCAAAACCCACCTACCACCCAACCAACCTTCCCCCCCACACACCCCCACCCGTCATCTCACAACAACCCACACACCCCCCCACCAAACAACCAACCCCCAATCCCACCACAACCCAAACCTCATCAGACAACTCACCACAACAACACCTTCGTCATACACACACCCCCACTCCACATCACACAAAACCCTCATCAACACAACTATCCCACACAAACCCCCACCATCACAACATTCACCCACCCAACTCTCCACAAAACATCACTCACCAACAACTCCTCAACACCTCATCACACCAACAACCACACCCACCCACCTCACAACCAACACCCACACTACACCCTCCCCAACATACCACAACACCCCTCTCTAACTCCCAAAACCCCCCCACCCACTCACCCCACACCCCCACTCCTCAATCCACCCCCCCCCAACACTCACAACACTCTCCAACCAACTCAACCACCCCACCACAAACTCACCACACCATCCCAACAACTCCCCAACACAACACCCCCACCGCCCACATCACAACATTCTCAACCACTCCAACTCTCCGACAAAACACCTCATAACACACAACTATCCTCACAACAACCCTCTAGTCCTCACAAATTTCAAACCTTACCTGACAACAACACTTCCAGTTCATCAACAAACATCTCCTCACACAAGCCAGCCTTAACAAATCTTCACACCCAACACCAACAACAACACATCAACCACTATTACCAACCCAGAACCACTTCTTAACCTCCACCTCATCGACACACATGTTCTCAAACATCCACCCTCACACTACAAACCAACACCCAATGTCTCCTACAACAACACCTAGTCATCAAACAACTCACCAAAAACGCCTTTAGCTCATCTGCACAACACTCTCCCCCACTCAACATCTACAAAACACCTTCCTTATCAAGCAAACATCATCTCAACAAACCCTCAGTATTGCACAAACTTCTCAACACACTCATCAACTTCCAGTACACACACTTCTTCATCAAGCCAACTCATCTCAACCAGCTTCTAGCTCATCTAGCACACAATTCTTCAAACCACTCTCAGTCTCCAGACAAACCTTCCAGTTATCAAGACAACATATCCTCAACAACGCCTTCTGCTCATTAGCACAACACTCTTCAACACACTCATCAGCTCATCCGTAACAACACTTCCACCACCAAACTCATCCTCAACACACGCCTCTAGCATCTAAAAAAAAAAAAAAAAAAAAAAAAAAAAAAAAAAAAAAAAAAAAAAAAAAAAAAAAAAAAAAAAAAAAAAAAAAAAAAAAAAAAAAAAAAAAAAAAAAAAAAAAAAAAAAAAAAAAAAAAAAAAAAAAAAAAAAAAAAAAAAAAAAAAAAAAAAAAAAAAAAAAAAAAAAAAAAAAAAAAAAAAAAAAAAAAAAAAAAAAAAAAAAAAAAAAAAAAAAAAAAAAAAAAAAAAAAAAAAAAAAAAAAAAAAAAAAAAAAAAAAAAAAAAAAAAAAAAAAAAAAAAAAAAAAAAAAAAAAAAAAAAAAAAAAAAAAAAAAAAAAAAAAAAAAAAAAAAAAAACCCCCACCCTCCTAAAAACCCTCTTCAGCACAACACCCCACAAACCTCTCTCAACAAACAACTCTCACCCCCTTTTAACACAGCAAAACCCAGTCACAAACCTATCTCAACAACAAACCTCTGCCTCGCCAAAACCTTTCAACCCCCACAACCACACAACCACCTCCTTTTCCACAAACTCACTAAAAACCAACCTTCTGCATAAAACCCATTTCCCAAACACCCACAACACCAGACACAACACCACAGTTCACAACCAACTCCCAAAAAAACCTTCACACTCAAACAAACTCTCAACACAACCCATCAACTCATCCACAAAACACGTTCATCCACAACAACCCCTTCAACAAACCCTTCTAAAAACAACCCCTTTTCCACACCCCCCATCAAGCCATCCAGTACAACACACTTCCTTCACACACCACAAAACCTAACAACCCACCTCATCTTCAACAACAACTTCTTCAAACACCACTCCTTTCCCCTAAACAACACCTTCCTCCACAACCCTCATCATCCTTCAACAAAAACCTTTCCCTCCCAACAACCTTCCTAACACCCCCATTTCCCATCAAAACACTTCCCTCCAAAACCTCTTCATCAACAACAACCCCCCTCACTCACACACTTCAACCACCCCTTCCATTCAAATCTACCAAAACAACCCTTCCCTCTAGCATCAACATTCCTAAAACACCCTCGTTTTTCCAGACCAACAACTTCTTCAACACCACTCACTCTCTACAACAACCTTCCCAAACCACAACCTCTCCACCAACCTTCTAGCCTAGCACACAATTTTCCTTAAAACCCCAACCCACTCCCCATCAAAAAACCCCTTCACCATCAAACAACCAACACTCCTCAAAAAAACGCCCAGACTTAGTCCAAACAACTTCTCAACCACCATTTAAGCTCTCCTTAACAACAACACTTCACCCCCAAACACTTTCCCCAAAACAAAAACCCTTCAGCTCATCAACCACAACTTAAACCCCCAAATACCCTAACAATCAACCTTCCTCTCACACTCCACAACTTCCAAACAAACACCTTCCTTTAAAGCCACATCTTCCCACACCCTTTACTCCCAACAAACAACTCCTCCACCATCAAATTAAACCCCCCAAAAACCACCCTTACCTCTAACAAAATTCCAACCACCCTCCTTTCAACCATTCAGTAAACACCACTCCCATCAACACAACATCATCCAAAAAAACCCTTCTAGCATCTGAAACAACAACTTCTTAAACCCCCAAAATCCTCAAGCCATCCAGTACAACAACCTTCCAGTCACAAACAACCCACCTCAACACGCCATATCTCACAACAACTCTTCAACCACCCCACAACCATCTTACAACAACCCTTCAGTTTCAACAAAACTCCTTCCAAAAATAAGCTCACACTCTTCAAAAACAACTTCAACCACCATCAAAACCTTCTTCCAACAACACCTTCCTTCACAAGCCCATCTCACAACAACCCTTCTACCACTCACAATTCTTCAACACCACTCCTTTCAGCTCAAAAAACCAACCAAACACCCAAGCAACAACCTTCTCCAACAACCAAACATCTCACAACAACTTTCAAAAACTCCACAACACATAAAAAAACCCCTTCCACATCAACCAACTTCCCAACACACCCTTCAGCTCATCTCACAAAAAACTCAACCCCTCCATCACATCCATACAACCCCTTTCCCTTCTCAACCCATCACTCATCATAAAACCAACGGCCATTTTCTAAGCCAATCTCCAAAACACCCCACACTCATCAAGACACAATCCAACCACCTCCAGCTCATCAGACAACACCCTTAAACACAAGCCCCACTCCACCCAACCAACCTTCTTTCAACCAACCCCAAACCACCACCCCTCAACCTTCCTTACAACACCCCCTTCACCCTAACAAATCCCTCCTACCTTTCCAAGCCCAAACTTTCACACACCACTCCTCAACACCAACCAAAACCTTTCCCTTCAAACACACTCCCTCAACAACACTTCCCTTCAACCAAAACCCTTCTTAAACCACCACCCTTTAAAACCTTCCAGTCAAACAACCCATTCATCAAAAAACACCCAACAAACGCCTCAACTTCTGACAACAAATTCTAACCACCCCCAAGCTCACAATACACACCTCCAGTTTCAGAAAACCCCCAAAAAGCCTATTTCCGGGGAAAAATTTTAAAACCCAAAAGGGGGAAGCCAAACCCCTTTTTAAGCAATTTCAAAAAAAGTTCACCCCGCCCTTTTCCCACCCCAAAAAAGAAAAAACCCTTTCGTAAGCAAAATTAAACACCCTTTGCTTACCCAAACCCCCCTCAAAACCTCAAAGCTTCCTTAAAAGCCCAAAAACAACGAGCCTCCCCCTTTAACCCCCCCCCATCACTAAAAACCCCCCAAAACCCATTCCTCACAACAAACTTCTTCACCACAAAAACCTTCACCCCTCAAAATTTTCCCAACAAAAAACCCCCCCTTAAAAAACAAAAAACCTCAAAAAAACCCCCCCTTCTAGCAAACAATTCTTCAACCACCACCACAAGTTCACCCAGCCCAAAAAACCCCCCATTCCCCACACCAAAAACCCAACCCCCTTTTTCAATCATCAGCACACACCTTCAAACCCCAAAAACCACATAAACCACCTTCTTCTCAAAAATAAACACAACACCCCAATCATACAAAAAAATTCTTAAACCCACCCTCTAAACCCGACAAAAACCTTAAAACAACCACCCCTCCCTCAACAACCCCCTTGTTTTAAGAAAAAAAAACCCTTTTTAAACCCCCCCAAAACCACCACCCATTACCAAAACCAAACCCCACAACAATTTTAGCTCAAGAAAACACTTCCCAAAAAAAACCCTCACCTACAAAACCCTTCCTCCAGCACAACAATCTCAAAAACGCCTTCAGCTCATAAAACCCCCAAAACCATCCTTCTTCACAAACAACACCCCCACCCCCCCAAACATTCCAACAACAACCCTTCACCATTCCCCAAACCTTAAACCCCCCCCCCCCGTCCCAGTAAAAACCTTCTTCACAACACAACCCAAAAACCAACCCCACCATCTACAACCCCTTTTTAAACCCACCCCACTAAAAACCCCCCCCGGGTTCATCAAAAACATCATCCTCAAAAACAACGCCTTCAAACCTTTAAAAACCCTTCTTCAAAAAACCCCAAAAACCCCCATAAACAACACCCCCCAAAAAGCCCCCCAACCCCCTTCAACAAAAAACCCCAAACCCCAAACAGCACGAAAAACCCTCCACCCCCCTTTAAAAACCCCCTTTCACACTAAAAACCCCCCCCCCGCCCGCCAACCCCTTTCCCTTCCAAACCAAACCCTCAACCCCCCCCCTTTGTCATCAGAAAAACCCCCCAAACCCCCCCCAAACCACCAAAACAACCCTTTAGTTAAAACAAAAAATTTTTCCCCAAAAACAACCCCCCAACTACAAAACACCTTCCCCCACCCCCACCAAACCAAAACCCCCCATTAGCAAAACCCAAAACCACCCTCAAAAGCCCCTTTAACCCCTTTCCACAACCCCAAAAACCCCCCGGCCCCCCTCCAAAACAACCCCATCATAGAAACCCCCCCATCCTCCACCTTTTAAAAAACCTTTGATGCCCCTTTTTAACCAAACCCCCAAACCCAAAAAAAAACCCTTCAACCCACCCTCAAAAAAAAAAACCCCTTCCAAAAAAACCCCTTTAAAAAGGGGGGGGGAAAAAAAAATTTTTTCCCCCAAAAACCCCAAAAATTTCCCCAATAAAAACAACTTCTTCCCAAAAAAAGGGGGGGGCCCCCAAAAAACCCCTTAAAACCCCCTTCTTTCCCAAAAAACAACCCTCACTCAAACAACTTTCACCCCAAAAAAAAAACCCTTCTTCCAACCCCCACCTCCCCCAACAAAAACCCTTTCCCATTTCTAGACAAAACCCCCAAAAAAACCCCCCCCAATCTAAAAAAAACCCTTTTTCCCAAACCAAACTTCTCAACCCCCCTCGTCTTTAGCAAAAAAAAACCCCAAACACCAAACCTTAAACCACCCTTCCAAAAAAAATTTTTTTCCAAAAACACCACTCTCCAGTACAAAAAACACCTTCCAGTTCATCAAGACAACATCTCTCAACCCAACAACGCCTTCTAGCTCATCTACCCAACACAACTCTTAACCCATCACTCAGCTATCCGTACAACAAACCCTTCCAGTTCTTCAAGCCAACATCATCCTCAACACACAACGCCTTCTAGCTCATCTAGCACAACAACTTCTTCAACCACACTCCATCAAGCTCATCCAGTACCAACAACACCCTTCCAGTTCCTCAAGCACAACATCATCCTCAACAACAACGCCTTCTAGCTCATCTAGCACAACAACTTCTTCAACCACCACTCCATCAAGCTCATCCAGTACAACAACACCTTCCAGTTCATCAAGCACAACATCATCCTCAACAACAACGCCTTCTAGCTCATCTAGCACAACAACTTCTTCAACCACCACTCCATCAAGCTCATCCAGTACAACAACACCTTCCAGTTCATCAAGCACAACATCATCCTCAACAACAACGCCTTCTAGCTCATCTAGCACAACAACTTCTTCAACCACCACTCCATCAAGCTCATCCAGTACAACAACACCTTCCAGTTCATCAAGCACAACATCATCCTCAACAACAACGCCTTCTAGCTCATCTAGCACAACAACTTCTTCAACCACCACTCCATCAAGCTCATCCAGTACAACAACACCTTCCAGTTCATCAAGCACAACATCATCCTCAACAACAACGCCTTCTAGCTCATCTAGCACAACAACTTCTTCAACCACCACTCCATCAAGCTCATCCAGTACAACAACACCTTCCAGTTCATCAAGCACAACATCATCCTCAACAACAACGCCTTCTAGCTCATCTAGCACAACAACTTCTTCAACCACCACTCCATCAAGCTCATCCAGTACAACAACACCTTCCAGTTCATCAAGCACAACATCATCCTCAACAACAACGCCTTCTAGCTCATCTAGCACAACAACTTCTTCAACCACCACTCCATCAAGCTCATCCAGTACAACAACACCTTCCAGTTCATCAAGCACAACATCATCCTCAACAACAACGCCTTCTAGCTCATCTAGCACAACAACTTCTTCAACCACCACTCCATCAAGCTCATCCAGTACAACAACACCTTCCAGTTCATCAAGCACAACATCATCCTCAACAACAACGCCTTCTAGCTCATCTAGCACAACAACTTCTTCAACCACCACTCCTCAAGCTATCCAGTACAACAACACCTTCCAGTCTCAAGCACAACTCACCCTCAACACAACGCCTTCTAGCTCATCTAGCACAACAAACTTTTCAACCCACCACTCATCAAGTCATCCATTTCAACAACACCTTCCAGTTCATCAAGCACAATTATCTCAACAACAACGCTTCTAGCTCATCTGCACAACAACTTTTCACCAACACTCCATCAAGCTCATCCAGTACAACAACCCCTTACAGTTCATCAAGCACAACATCATCCTCAACAACAACGCTTTAGTCATCTAGCACAACAATTTTCTTCAACCACCACTCCATAAAGCTCTCCGTACAACAACCCCTTCCAGTTCATCAAGCACAACATCACCCTCACAACAACGCCTTCTAGCTCATCTAGCACAACAATTCTTCAACCCCACTCCTAAAGCTCATCCAGTACAAAAAACACCTTCCGTTCATCAAGACAACTTCACCCTCAACAAACACGCCTTCTAGCTCATCTAGCACAACAACTTCTTCAACCACCACTCCATCAAGCTCATCCAGTACAACAACACCTTCCAGTTCATCAAGCACAACATCATCCTCAACAACAACGCTTTCTAGCTCATCTAGCACAACAACTTCTTCAACCACCACTCCATCAAGCTCATCCAGTACAACAACACCTTCCAGTTCATCAAGCACAACATCATCCTCAACAACAACGCCTTCTAGCTCATCTAGCACAACAACTTCTTCAACCACCACTCCATCAAGCTCATCCAGTACAACAACACCTTCCAGTTCATCAAGCACAACATCATCCTCAACAACAACGCCTTCTAGCTCATCTAGCACAACAACTTCTTCAACCACCACTCCATCAAGCTCATCCAGTACAACAACACCTTCCAGTTCATCAAGCACAACATCATCCTCAACAACAACGCCTTCTAGCTCATCTAGCACAACAACTTCTTCAACCACCACTCCATCAAGCTCATCCAGTACAACAACACCTTCCAGTTCATCAAAGCACAACATCATCCTCAACAACAACGCCTTCTAGCTCATCTAGCACAACAAACTTCTTCAACCACCACTCCATCAAGCTCATCCAGTACAACAACACCTTCCAGTTCATCAAGCACAACATCATCCTCAACAACAACGCCTTCTAGCTCATCTAGCACAACAACTTCTTCAACCACCACTCCATCAAGCTCATCCAGTACAACAACACCTTCCAGTTCATCAAGCACAACATCATCCTCAACAACAACGCCTTCTAGCTCATCTAGCACAACAACTTCTTCAACCACCACTCCATCAAGCTCATCCAGTACAACAACACCTTCCAGTTCATCAAGCACAACATCATCTCAACAACAACGCCTTCTAGCTCATCTAGCACAACAACTTCTTCAACCACCACTCCATCAAGCTCATCCAGTACAACAACACCTTCCAGTTCATCAAGCACAACATCATCCTCAACAACAACGCCTTCTAGCTCATCTAGCACAACAACTTCTTCAACCACCACTCCATCAAGCTCATCCAGTACAACAACACCTTCCAGTTCATCAAGCACAACATCATCCTCAACAACAACGCCCTTCTAGCTCATCTAGCACAACAACTTCTTCAACCACCACTCCATCAAGCTCATCCAGCTACAACAACACCTTCCAGTTCATCAAGCACAACATCATCCTCAACAACAACGCTTCTAGCTCATCTAGCACAACAACTTCTTCACCACCACTCCATCAAGCTCATCCAGTACAACAACACCTTCCAGTTCATCAAGCACAACATCATCCTCAACAACAACGCCTTCTAGCTCATCTAGCACAACAACTTCTTCAACCACCACTCCATCAAGCTCATCCAGTACAACAAACACCTTCCAGTTCATCAGCACAACATCATCCTCAACAACAACGCCTTCTAGCTCATCTAGCACAACAACTTCTTCAACCACCACTCATCAAGTCATCCAGTACAACAACACCTTCCAGTTCATCAAGCACAACCTCATCCTCAACAACAAACGCTTTGCTCTCTAGCACAAAAATTCTTTAAACCCACCACCCCTCAAGCTCATCCAGTACAACAAACACCTTCCGGGTTCATCAAGCACAACAAAAAAAAAAAAAAAAAAAAAAAAAAAAAAAAAAAAAAAAAAAAAAAAAAAAAAAAAAAAAAAAAAAAAAAAAAAAAAAAAAAAAAAAAAAAAAAAAAAAAAAAAAAAAAAAAAAAAAAAAAAAAAAAAAAAAAAAAAAAAAAAAAAAAAAAAAAAAAAAAAAAAAAAAAAAAAAAAAAAAAAAAAAAAAAAAAAAAAAAAAAAAAAAAAAAAAAAAAAAAAAAAAAAAAAAAAAAAAAAAAAAAAAAAAAAAAAAAAAAAAAAAAAAAAAAAAAAAAAAAAAAAAAAAAAAAAAAAAAAAAAAAAAAAAAAAAAAAAAAAAAAAAAAAAAAAAAAAAAAAAAAAAAAAAAAAAAAAAAAAAAAAAAAAAAAAAAAAAAAAAAAAAAAAAAAAAAAAAAAAAAAAAAAAAAAAAAAAAAAAAAAAAAAAAAAAAAAAAAAAAAAAAAAAAAAAAAAAAAAAAAAAAAAAAAAAAAAAAAAAAAAAAAAAAAAAAAAAAAAAAAAAAAAAAAAAAAAAAAAAAAAAAAAAAAAAAAAAAAAAAAAAAAAAAAAAAAAAAAAAAAAAAAAAAAAAAAAAAAAAACCATCCTCAACAAAAAACTCATCCTACCCCAAACCAATCTCTTCCAACAACTCCATCTCAACACCAACACAACACCTAGTCATCCATCCCTCAACAACACCCTTCAGTCATCAAGCACAACATCCACCCAACAACAACGCCTTCTGCCATCTAGCACAACCTTCTTCCCCCACTTCCATAAAACTCATCCTACAACAACCCTCGTCATCAGCACAACTATCCTCCAACCACCCTCCTAGCTCCCCAGCACAACAACTTCTTAAAACCCATCCACAATCATCCCAACAACAACCCTTCAGTTCATCAGCACAACATCTCCTCAACCACCACCCTTCTAGCTCATTTTCACAACAACTTCTTAAACCCACCATCAAAATCTCATCCATCAACAACCCTTCATTCTAAGCACAAACAACCCCTTCAAAAAACCCTTTCAGCTCATCTACCAACAATTTCCAACCCCATTTCATCAAGCCACCATCAACAACACCTTCAGTTCATCAAGCACAAAAACTTCTAAACAACAACGCCTTCAAGCTCATCTAACAACAATCTTCCACCCCACTCCACAAGCCACCTCAACAACCCCCTTCCCAGTCATCGGGAACAAAAAACTTCTCAACCCCACCCATCTCTCATCTACCCCATTCCAACACTCATCATCAAGCTCATCCATACAACAACCCTTCCAGTCATCAAGCACAAAAACCCCTTCAACAACAACCCTTCAAGCTCATCGTACACAAACACTTTCACCATTACAACCCCTTTCCCCCAACAACACGCCTTCCAGTCATCAACAACACTTTCTCAACCAACCCACAACACTTCAGTCATCACACACACACTTCTCAACCACACCCCACAAGCCTCTCCATCAAAACAACAACTTCTACCCACCCACCAAATCATCCTCAAACAAACCTTCTAGTCACTACACAAACAATCTTCAACCCCAACCCTTCAGCTCATCAGTACAAAAACCCCTTCCCAACACCACACAACTCATCAACAACAACCCTTCAGTTCATCAAGCACAAAAATTTCTTAAAACCCACCAACAAGCTCATCCAGTACAAAAACCCCTTTCCCATTCACCACCCAAGATCATCCTCAACAAAAAACCTTCGGGTTCATCAGCACAACAACTTCTAAAAACCCACACTCCTCAAGCTCATTAGACAAAAACCCTTTCCCTTCATCAGCAAAACATCATCCTAAACAACAACCCTTCAGTCTCAAGCACAACAAACTTCTCAACCCCCAACCCTTCAGCTCATCTAGCCAAAAAACCCTTCCTTCACAACAAAACCCTCATCCAAACAAAACCCCCCCTTTCAACCCCTCACAACAACCCTTTTTCAACCACAACTTTCTCAATCATCCATCCAACCTTCCAGTAAAAAAACCACTCTCTTCAACAACAACCTTCTCATCAACACAACCTTTTCATTTACACAACCTTCTTCACCACACTCACAGCCAGAAACAAAAACCTTCCAGTTCATCAACCAACTCATCCTCAAAAACCCCTTCTAGCTCATCTAGCACCAACAACTTCACAACCACCACCATTAAAGCTCATCCATACAACAACACCCTTCAGTTCATCAAGCACAACATCATCCTCAACAACAACGCCTTTCTACTATCACACAAAAACTTCTTCAACCCCCCACTCCATCAACTCCTCCAGTACAAAAAACTCCATTCATAAACAAACTCATCCTCACAACAACGCCTTCACCTCACTCTTCACCCAAACACTTCTCAACACCCTCCAGTTCCATCCAGACAACAACCCCTTTCCTTCATCAAAGCCACATCATCTAAAACAAAAACCCTTCAACTCACTCACAACAACTTCTTCAACCACAACCCTTCAGTCATCAAGACAACAACACTTCCTTAAACACACCCATCACTCAACAACAACCTTCTAGCCATCTACACCACAATCTCAACCACCACTCCATTCAGTCATCCAGAAAAAACACCTTCCATTTCCATCGCACAACAACCTCAACACAACCCTTCAACTCATTAGACAAACCTTCACCAAAACCATCAACTCACCCATACAACAACCCTTCAGTTCATCAAGCACAACAACCCTCAACACCAACCCTCAAGCTCATCAGACAACAACTTCCTTCATCAACCACCATAAATCACCCTCAACAAACCCCTTTCAGTTCATCAAGCACAACACACCCTTCAACAACCACCCTTCAAGCTCATCTAGCAAACAACCTTACCACCTCCATCAAGCTCATCCATCAACAACACCTTCCATTCATAAGCACAAAAACTCTTCAACAACACGCTTCTGTCATCAGACAACAATTTCCCTTAAACACACTCCATAAACCATCCATAACAACAACCCTTCAGTTCATCAGCACAAAAATCTCCTCCAACAACGCCTCAGCTTTAAAAACACACCTTTCTTAACCAAACACCTCTCAATCAACACGCCTTCCAGTACAAACACAACTCTTAAACCACACTAAATCGACAAAACATTCCCATTAAACAACACACATCCTCAACTCACAGACCACCTCTCACCACACTCTCAACACCCATACAACAAACTCCCCCAGTCATCAACAAAACATCATCCTCACAACAACCTCCTACTCACTCGACAACAACTTCTTCCCAACCACCACTCCTATCAAGCCTTAACAACAAATCCTTCATTCAAGCACAACATCATCTCAACAACAACGCCTTCTAGCTCATTTTAGCCAACAACTTCTTCAACCACCACTCCATCAAGCTCATCCAGTACAACAACACCTTCCAGTTCATCAAGCACACTTCATCCTCAAAAAACAACGCCTTCTAGCTCATCTAGCACAACAACTTCTTCAACCACCACCCTTCAAGCTATCCAGTACAACAACCCCTTTCCAGTTCATCAGCACAACATCATCCTCAACAACAACGCCTTCTAGTCATCTAGCACAACAACTTCTTCAACCAACTCCATCAAGCTCATCCAGTACAACAACACCTTCCAGTTCATCAACCCACAACACATCCTCAACAACAACCCCTTTTAGTCATCTAGCACAACAATTCTTCAACCACCACTCATCAAGCTCATCAGTAAACAACACCTTCCAGCATCAAGCACAACATCATCCCCACAACCATTCTAGCTCTTTCTAAACCATTTCTCAAAAACCCCTTCAACCACCATCCACAACCTTCCATTTCATCAACACCAACTCATCCCAAAAAAACCCTTCTACCACCCACAACACTTTCTTCACCACAACTTCTTCAACCACCAAACAAAAACCCTTCCAGTTCAAAACACAATTCATCCAACACAACCCTTCAAACCACGCCCAACTTCTTCAACACCCCATCAACTCACCACCAAACTCCAGTCATCAACACCTTACCCTTCAAGAAACAACTTCTACCTCTACCCACAACAACTTCTTAAACCCAAACCCCCATTTCCATCAAGTCATCCAGTACAACAACCCTTCCATTCATCAAGCCAACATCATCCTCAACAACAACGCCTTCTAGCTCATCTAGCACAACAACTTTTTCAACCACCACTCCATCATTCATCCAGTACAACAACCCCTTTTCCAGTTCATCAAGCACAACATCATCCTCAACAACAACGCCTTCTAGCTATTTTGCACAACAACTTTTTCAACCACCACTCCATCAAGCTCATCCAGTAAACAACACCTTCCAGTTCATCAAGCACAACATCCATCCTCAACAACAACGCCTTCTAGCTCTTCTAGCACAACAACTTCTTCAACCACCACTCCATCAAGCTCATCCAGTACAAACAACATTTCCCAGTTCATCAAGCACAACATCATCCTCAACAACAACCCTTCTAGCTCATTAGACAACAACTTCTTCAACCACCACTCCATCAAGCTCATCCGTAACAACAACACCTTCCAGTTCATCAACACAACTCATCCTCAACAAAAACGCCTTCTAGCTCATCTAGCACAACAACTTTTCAACCACCACCCCAAAATCATCAGTACAACAACACCCATTTCAACAAACTCACCTCAAAACAACCTCACATCAACACATTCTTCTAACCAAACCAACTCCTTCAACCACCAGACACAACCTTCAGTTCACCCAAATTTCTCAAAAACACCTTCCATCGTGCACAAAAACCTTAAAACCCCACACAACCCCAACCCTTCAGCTCATCAAAAACAACTTCATCCCCCAACCCAAAAAGCCTCTCCAGTACAACAACAACCTTCGTTCACAACCACAACATCATCCTCAACAACAACCCTTTCCCAGTTCATCAAGCACAACTTCTCAACCACCACCCTTCAAGCTCACCCAGACAACAACCCTTCCAATTCCAACACACATCATCCCAACAACAACCCTTCCAGTCATCAAGCACACACTTCTTCAACACCACCCATCAGCTCATCTAGACAACAACTTCTCACAACCACAACATCACCTCAACAACAACCCTTCAGTCATCAGCACAACAACCCTTTCAACCCCAACCCTTCAGCTCACCCAGTACAACAACCCCTTCAACATCAACACAACCTCATCAAAACAACCCTTCTAGTTCATCAAGCACAACAACTTCCAACACACCCCATCAAGCTCATCAGAAACAACACTTCTTCTAACCACCACCCCTTTCCTCAACAACAACCCTTCAGTTCATCAGCACAAAAACTTCTTCCCCAAACCACCTCAAGCCACCCGTACCAAAAACACTTCCACCACACCACAACTCATCCCAACAACAACCCCTTCCCAGTTCTTCAGCACAACAACCTTCTTCAACAACTACCTCTACCATTAACAAAAAAACCCTTCCAAAAACCCACCCCAAACAAACTCATCCTCAACACAACCCTTCACCATCACAATTTCTCACAACAACCTTCTACCCACACACCAACCTTCAACCTCATCTAAATCATCAACAAAAAACCCTTTCCCAGTCATCAAGCACAACATCATCCTCAACAACAACGCCTTCTAGCTCATCTAGCACAACAACTTCTTCAACCACCCTCCATAAAGCTCATTCCAGTACACAACACCTTCATCTCAGCAAATATCCTCAAAAACAACCCTTCTCTCAACACACAACCTTCTTCACCCACTCAACAATTTCCCCTTCAACACACCTACCAGTTCATCAAGACAACATCTCCTCACAACAACCTTCTTCACAAAAAACCTTTTTCAACCCCCACTCCTAAACTCACCCAGTCCCAAAAACCCCGTTCATAAGCAAACATCATCCCAAAAAACGCCTTTATCTTCTGAAAAACAAACTTTTTCAACCCATCCATCAAGCCATCCAGTACAACAACCCCCCCCGTTCTTCAAGCAAAATCACCTCAACAAAAAACCCCTTTCTAGCTCACTAGCAAAACAACTTCTTCAACCACCCCCCTAAAGCCATCCTTACAAAAAACACCTTCCAGTTCATCAAGCAAAACTCATCCTAAAACAAAACGCCTTCTAGCTCTCTGCACAAAACCTTAAACCACCCCCCATCAAAAACCACCCGTTTAAACCCAACACCCCCTTTACCAAACTTCAACCTCAAAAAACCCAATTCATTTCCAAAACAACAATTTTTAAACCAAAACCCACACCTAAACCTTTTTCCATAAAACAAAAACTTCCATCTAAACACCCATCCTAACAACAACCCCTTCAGTATCACACAAAACTTCTTCAACACCACCCTTCAAGCTCACCCAACAAAACCCTTCCCCCACAAGCAAAAACTCATCCTCAAACAACCCTTCAGTCATCAGCACAAAAACTTTTCAACCCCACCCTCAGCTCCCCCGACAAAACCCCTTTCCCGTTCACAACACCTATCCCCCAACAACAACCCTTCAAACCCAAAAAATTTCTCCCCACAACAACCTTAAAACCCACTCCACAACCATCCTTTAAACAACACCTTCGTCATAAAGCAAAACCCTCATCTAACAAAAACCCCTTTTTCCTCACAACAACCTTCTAAAAACCCCCACTCCTTCAACCACCATCAAAAAACCCTTCAGTTCCAACAAAACATACCCACAACAACCCAGCCTCTAGCAAAAACCCTTCTTCAACCACCACCCCCTAAAGCTTCAGTACAAAAACCCCTTTCAGTTCATCAAGCCAACTCATCCTCAACAAAAACCCCTTTCTAGCCTCTAGCACAACAACTTCTTCAACCCCCCACCAAAAATCATCCTTTACAAAAACCCCTTTCCCAGTTCACAAGCAAAACATCCCCAAAAACAACCCCTTTTAGCTCCTAGCACAAAAACTTCTTCAACCACCACTCATCAAGCTCACCAGTAAACAACACATTCCGGTTCATAAAGCAAACACACCCCAAACAACAACCCCTTCGCTCATTACCAACAATTTTTAAACCCACCACTCCATAAAAGTTTTCCCAGTCAAAAACCCCTTCCTTTTTTTTCTCAAAAAACATCTCCAAAAACCAAAAATTTCTTCATCACACCAACTTCTTTCAAAAAACCACCCCATTCCAAGCCCTCACTAAAAAAACCCTTTCAGTTCACCAACACCCCAACACACCCTCCTTCTAACCTTACACAAAACCTAAAAAACCCCCAACCCTTCTTCTACAAAAAAATTTCCACAAAACCCACAACCCCCCAACAAAACCCTTCAGTCTCAGCACAACATTTTTCTTAAAAACCACCTCCAAGCCCCATCCAAAACACCCCCCCATTCATCAAGACAAAAACACCTAAAAAAGCTTTCTCACTACCCAACAACTTCTTCAACCCCACCCCTAGCCACCAGCCAACACCCCCCCCATTTCCACGCAAACACACCTAAACAACAACCCCTTCATCATCCCACAACAACTTTTTTAAAAACCCCCCCTCCTCAGGTTTTCCCCCATTTCAACAACCCCTTCCGTTCATCAGACAAATCACCCTTTCAACAACAAGCCTTTAGCCTCTGCACAACAACTTTTCAACCCCACCCACAAGCTACCGTCAAAAACACCTTCCTTTCCAAGCCAAAACTCATCCTAACAACAACCCCCTTTCTGCTCATCTAGCACAACAACTTCTTCACCACCCCCTCAAGTCATCCGTAAAACAACACTTCCATTCATCAAGCACACTCATCCTAAACACAAGCCTTCTAGCTCATCTGCCACAACTTTTAAAACCACCATCCAAAAGCCACCAGTACAACAACCCTTCCAGTTCTCAAGCAAACTCATCCCAAAAACAACCCTTTCTGCTACTAGCAAACAATTTCTTAAAACCACCACTCCTCACTCATCCAGTACAAAAACACCTTCCATTCTAAAGCAAATCACCTCAACAACAAACCCTTTGCTATTAGCACAACCTTTCCCCTTAAAAACCCATCCTCCCAACTCATCAGTAAAACAAAACCCCGTTCTCAAACAACTCACCTCACAAAAAACCTTTACCCCCCGCAAAACAAATTTTTTTAAAACCCACCCCCCCAGTCACCCCAGTAAAACAACACCCCTTGTCATCAACCCAAACTCTCTCAACACAACCCTTCAGCTCTCAGACAAAAACCCTTTTTTCCCAACCCCCCCCATAAATCATCATACACAACACCTTCCCAGTTATCCAAAACAAACCTCCAACAACCCTTCGCTCTCTACAACAACCTTACCACCACCCTCAATTCATCCTAACAACAACCCTTCGTTCTAGCACAACCTCCCAAACCCCCCTTTTTAGCTCTCAGACACAACCTTAAACCACACCCTCAACTCCCCCATCAACAATTTCCCAGTTCATCGCAAAACACCCCTCAACCAACCCTTCAGCTCATCTCAAACCCCTTTCTTCCCCCATCCAAAAATCCCTCAACAACCCCTTTTTGTTCATCAACAAACACTCTAACAACAACCCTTCAGTCACTGACAACAACCTTTTTTAAAAACCACCCCCAAACCAGCCTCAACACCCCCTTCCAAACCCCCCCAAACAAACTCTTTTCCAAAACCCTTCCCCAAAAAACCCACTCTACCAAACCCCCTTAAACACCAAAAAACCCAATATCCCTCCCCCAAAAACACTCCATCATCAGCACAACATCATCCTCAACAACAACCCCTTCTAGTCATCTAGCCCCAAAATTCTTAACCCCACTATCAAGTCACCCGTCAAAAACCCCTTCCAGTTCTAAAGCCAACATCCCCTAAAACAAACCCCTTCTAGCTCATCTAGCAAACAATTTCTTCAACCCCCACCCCTCAAGCTCATCCAGTACAACAACCCCTTCCAGTCATAAAGCACCATCCTAAAACAACAACCCTTCTAGCTTTCTACACAACAACTTCTAAACCCCACCCCCTCAAGCTATCCAGTCAACAACCCTTCCAGTTCTTAAGCACAACACACCCCAAAACAACAACGCCTTCTAGTCTCTGCACAACAACTTCTTCAACACCATCATAAAGCTCATCCAGTACAACAACACCTCCATTTCATAAAGCAAAAACTCATCCTCAAAAAAAAAAACCCAACCCCTTCTAGCCACAACCAAAAACTTCAAAACCACCACCCACAATCCCAGTACAAAAAACATTTTTCCAAAAATAGCCCCTCATCTAAACAACAACCCTTCAGCTCTTAGCCAAACCTAAACCCCATCCCATCAACCACCATAAAAAAAACCCTTTCCCAGTTCATCAAGCACAAAAAACCCTAAACCCCAACCCTTCAGCTCTCTTACACAAACTTCTTCAAACCACAACCATTCAAAGCCCCCCATCCCCAAACAACCCTTAAAATTCAAAACCAACATAAACCTTTAACAAAAAAACCTTTCCACAACCAAAAAACCCAAACACCCTCCACCCTCACAGCAACAACCCCTCAGTCATCAAAAACACACCTCAAAAACAACCCCCTCACCTCTAACAAAAACTTCTTCCAACCCACTACAACCTTTCCAAAAACACCCTTCCCATTTAAGACAAAAACATTTCAACAAAAGCCCAACTCATTACAAAAAACCCTTCAACCACCCCCACAATCTCCAAAACACCCTTTCCCTTTTCATCAAGCCAACACTCCCAAACCAAGCTTCTATCTCACAAAAACCTTCTTCAACCCACCACCCTAAAATCCCCAACCCACCCTTCAGTTCATCGACAACATCTCCTAAAACAACAACCCCCTTCATTTTCATTAGCACAACAACTTTTTTCAACCACCACCCCATAAAGCTCTCCGTCAAAAACCCCCTTCCAGTTCATAAGAAAACCCTCCTCAACAACAACGCCTTTAGCTATCTAGCACAACAATTTCTTCAACCACTCCATCAAGCTCATCCAGTACAACAACACCTTCCCATTCATCGCACACTCATCCCCCAACAAAACCCTTCTAGTCATTGCAAACCACTTCTCAACCCCCACCCACAACCTCCTCAACACACTTCAGCATCAACCCAAAAATTTCCCCCTTTCAACCAACCCTTCTGCTCATCAGACCCCAACCCCTCAACAACCACCCAAAAACCCTTCCCTTTTCCAACCAAACCCCTTCGAGTCATAACCCACCCTCAACAAAAACCTCAAGTTCAGCAAAACATTTCCCAAAAACCCCCCCCAAACAACTCCCGAACCAACCTCCAGTCTAAAAGCACAACACTCTCAACCAACCCTTCACTCATCAGACAACAACCTTAAACCCCCATCCATCAAGCTACCAGTAAAACAACATTTCCCTTTCACAACACCCATAAACCCCCAAAACAACCCCCCGTTCTTTAAGCACACACTTCTTCCCCACACCCTCAAGCTTTTGAAAAAAACCTTCACAAAACACAACCTCCTCAACAACCCCTTTTTTACCCCTATCTAACAAAAACCCCTTCAACCACCAGCCCCACAACCCACCAAACCACACTTCCATTTCCAAAAAACCTTTTTTCAACAAAACCCCTTCTACCACAGCCCAACTTCTTCAAAAACCCAAAAATAAACCCCTACCCAGTCCAACACCCACTCAAGCACACATCTCCCAACAAACCCTTCTAGTCATCTAGCACAACAATTTTTTAAACCACCACTCCATCAAGACCCAGTAAAAAACCCCTTTCCCATTCAAAACACAACATCTCCTAAACAAAAACGCCTTCAGTCATCTGCACAACAACTTCTTCACCCCCACTCCATAAAGCTCTTCCGTAAAAAAACCCTTTTCCTTTTTAAAGCCAACATCATCCTAAAAAAAACCCCTTCTAGCTCATCTAGCACAACAACTTTTCAACCACCACTCCTCAAGCTCATCCTACAAAAACCCCCCAGTTCATCAAGCAAAAACACATCCTCAACAACAACGCCTTCTGTCACAGCACACAATTTCTTCAACCACTCCACAAGTCATCCGTAAACCCCCCAACCCCCTTTTCCCAAAAATTCACCCACACCCCCAAAAAGTTCTCTCCAAAAAAACCAAAACCCCCCCCCCAAAAACCAACCTTCAGCTCAAATTCACAACAAAAACCTCAGCCACAAGAAAAACAACCCCAAACAAAACCCTTCTGCTCATCAGACCACTTTTCAACCACCACCTAATCATCCATAAAAAAACCCTTTCCCGTTCTCCACAACACCCTCAACCCCACCCTTCAGCCATCGACAAAACTTTTAAACACATCCCAATTTCATCCAACAACAACCCTTTCCCAGTTCATCAACACAACAATCCCCTTCAACAAAACCCTCAGCCTTAGACAACAATTTCTTCACCACCACCCACAATCTCCTCAACAACCCCTTCCTTTCATCAGCCAAACCCCTCAAACCCCTTCTGCTCTTTCCCAAAAACCCTTTTTCACACCACTCCATAACTCACTAAAACAACCCTTTCCCTTCCACCCAAAATCATCCTCAACAACAACCCTTCAGTCATCAGCAAAAAACCCTTTTTAAAACCACACCATACCACCATCAACAACCTTCCAGTTCTCAAGCACAAAATCATTAAAACAAAAAACCCTTCAAGCTCTTTAGACAACAACCTTCCCACCCACTCCAAAAACTCTCCAACAACAACCCCCCAGCTCAAGCAAACACCCCTAAACCCAACCCCTTTTAGCTCACCCTCCAAAACAACCCTTCAACCCACCCCCACAAGCTAATAATAAAACAACATTTCCCGACAACACCTCAAATCCTAACAAAAACCTTCTGCTTCTACAAAACTTCTTAAACACCATCCTCAAGTCACGACAAAAACCCCTTTCCCAAATTCCAACCCAAAAACCCATCAACAAAAACCCTTCAGTCCAGCAAAAAACTTCTCAAACCAAAACCCATCAAGCTACCCAGACAAAAAACCCTTCCACACAAAAAACCATCATTCAACAAACCCCTTTCTAGCCTTCCACAACAACCCTTCAACCCCCACTCACAATCCCCCAAAAAAACCATTTCCATTAAAAACCCCAAATAAACCCAACACCAAACCCTTCTAGCTCATCTGCACAACAATTCTTAAACCCCCCACCCTAAAGCCTCCCCCCAAACCCCTTTCCCAGTTCATAAGCACAACATCATCCTCAACAACAACGCCTTCTAGCTCATCTAGCACAACAACTTCTTCAACCACCACTCCATCAAGCTCATCCAGTACAACAACACCTTCCAGTTCATCAAGCACAACATCATCCTCAACAACAACGCCTTCTAGCTCATCTAGCACAACAACTTCTTCAACCACCACTCCATCAAGCTCATCCAGTACAACAACACCTTCCAGTTCATCAAGCACAACATCATCCTCAACAACAACGCCTTCTAGCTCATCTAGCACAACAACTTCTTCAACCACCACTCCATCAAGCTCATCCAGTACAACAACACCTTCCAGTTCATCAAGCACAACATCATCCTCAACAACAACGCCTTCTAGCTCATCTAGCACAACAACTTCTTCAACCACCACTCCATCAAGCTCATCCAGTACAACAACACCTTCCAGTTCATCAAGCACAACATCATCCTCAACAACAACGCCTTCTAGCTCATCTAGCACAACAACTTCTTCAACCACCACTCCATCAAGCTCATCCAGTACAACAACACCTTCCAGTTCATCAAGCACAACATCATCCTCAACAACAACGCCTTCTAGCTCATCTAGCACAACAACTTCTTCAACCACCACTCCATCAAGCTCATCCAGTACAACAACACCTTCCAGTTCATCAAGCACAACATCATCCTCAACAACAACGCCTTCTAGCTCATCTAGCACAACAACTTCTTCAACCACCACTCCATCAAGCTCATCCAGTACAACAACACCTTCCAGTTCATCAAGCACAACATCATCCTCAACAACAACGCCTTCTAGCTCATCTAGCACAACAACTTCTTCAACCACCACTCCATCAAGCTCATCCAGTACAACAACACCTTCCAGTTCATCAAGCACAACATCATCCTCAACAACAACGCCTTCTAGCTCATCTAGCACAACAACTTCTTCACCACCACTACCACAAGCTCATCCAGTACAACAACACCTCCAGTTCATCAAGCACAACATCATCCTCAACAACAACGCCTTCCTAGCTCATCTAGCACAACAACTTCTCAACCACCACTCCATCAAGCTCATCCAGTACAACAACACACTTTCCAGTTCATCAAGCACAACATCATCCTCAACAACAACGCCTTCCTAGCTCATCTAGCACAACAACTTCTTCACAACAACCACTCCATCAAGCTCATCCAGTACAACAATCACCTCCAGTTCATCAAGCACAACATCATCCTCAACAACAACGCCTTCTAGCTCATCTAGCACAACAACTTCTTCAACCACCACTCCATCAAGCTCATCCAGTACAACAACACCTTCCAGTTCTCGAAAACATCCCTCAACAAAACGCCTTCAGTATCTGACAACATTTTCCCCACCCATAAAGCTCTCGAAACAAAACCTCCAGTCCAACACACTACCCCAAACAACACCCTTTTCTCTACACAACAACTTCTACCCCACCACGCTCACCGTCACACCCTTCATCACACCAACAATCTCACAACAACCCTTAGCTCATCTAGACAACAACCTTTCAACCCCACTCCATCAAAGCTCATCCAGTCACAACACCTTCCAGTTCACAGCACAACACATCCCCCACCAAAACGCCTTCTAGCTAAATCTAGAAACAAAAAACTTCTTAAACCACCCTCTCCACAAGCCATCCAGTACAACAACACCTTCCAGTTACAACCAACTCATCCTCAACAACAACCCCTTCTAGCTCATCCCCAAACAACCTTTTCCACAACCCCCCATTTCCACAAGCTCATCCAAAAACCCCAACCCTTCCAGTTATAAAGCAAAACTCACCTCAACAACAACGCCTTCTAGCTCATCTAGCACAACAACCTTCTTCAACCACCACTCCATCAAGCTCAACCAGTACAACAACACCTTCCAGTTCATCAAGCACAACATCATCCTCAACAACAACGCCTTCTAGCTCATCTAGCACAACAACTTCTTCAACCACCACTCCATCAAGCTCATCCAGACAAACAACACTTCAGTTCATCAAAGCACAACATCATCCTCAACAACAACGCCTCATTCCTCAACAAGCACAACATCAACCTCACACCCTCCACCACACAACTTCATCAACCACCACTCCATCAAAGCTCATCCAGTACAACACACCTTCCAGTTCATCAAGCACAACCATCATCCTCAACAACAACGCCTTCTAGCTCATCTAGCACAACAACTTCTTCAACCCACCACTCCATCAAGCTCATCCAGTACAACAACACCTTCCAGTTCATCAAGCACAACATCATCCTCAACAACAACGCCTTCTAGCTCATCTAGCACAACAACTTCTTCAACCACCACTCCATCAAGCTCATCCAGTACAACAACACCTTCCAGTTCATCAAGCACAACATCATCCTCAACAACAACGCCTTCTAGCTCATCTAGCACAACAACTTCTTCAACCACCACTCCATCAAGCTCATCCAGTACAACAACACCTTCCAGTTCATCAAGCACAACATCATCCTCAACAACAACGCCTTCTAGCTCATCTAGCACAACAACTTCTTCAACCACCACTCCATCAAGCTCATCCAGTACAACAACACCTTCCAGTTCATCAAGCACAACATCATCCTCAACAACAACGCCTTCTAGCTCATCTAGCACAACAACTTCTTCAACCACCACTCCATCAAGCTCATCCGCCCAAAAACTTCCCCGGTTCTAAAGCAAAAACATCCCTCAACAAAAAAACGCCTTCAGTCATTTAGCCCAAAAATTCTTAAAACCCCCCCACAAGTTCCAGTAAAAAAACCCCCTTCCAGTTCATCAAGCAAACATATCTAAAACAAAAAAAGCCTTCTGCTCATCAGCCAAAACTTCTTCAACCCCCCACTCCATAAAGTCATCCAGTCAACAACACCTTCCGTTCTCAAGCAAAACATCTTCCCAACAAACGCCTTCTGTCTTCTAGAAAACAATTTTCAACCCCACCCTAAATCAGTCATCCAGTAAAAAAAATTTCCTTTATCAAGCCAAATCATCCTCAAACCAAAACCCCTTTAGTATTTGCCCCTTTTAACCCCTTCAGTTTTGTAAAAACCAAAACCTTCATTTCATCAAACCCAAACTTCCCCAAAAAACAACGCCTTCGCTTTTACAAAACAATCAAAAAACCCCACTCCATAAAAGTCTTCCAGACAAACCCCTTCCGTTTTCAAGACAACATCATCCCAAAAAACAACGCCTCTGTCATCAGCACAACAACCTTAAAACCCACCACTCCTCAAGCCATCCAGACAAAACCCTTCCAGTTCTCAAGCCAACCTCCCTAAAAACAACGCCTTTCTAGTCATTGCACAAAACTTTTTCAACCCCCACCCATCAAGCCCGTCAACAACATTCCGTTCCAAGCACAACTTCCTCAACAACAGCCTTCTGTATCTGCAAAACCCCAAATTTCTTAAAACCACCCCCCTCAAGCTCACCCAGTAAACAACACCTTCATTTCTAAGCACAACACTTCCTCAACAAAAACGCCTTTGTCTCTGCAAAAACCTTCTTCACCACATCCATCAGCTCATCCGAAAACAACCCCTTTCCTTTACACCCAAAACACAAAATCTCTAAACAAGCAACCCCCCCATTTCCCCTTTTTTTACTTCTCCCCACCCCCCAACCCAAAACCCTTTCCTTCAACAAACTCAAATTTCAAGCTCATCCGTAAAAAAACCCTTCCATTCACAAGAAACTCATCTCAACGCCTTCTAGCTCATCTAGCACAACAACTTCTTCAACCACCACTCCATCAAGCTCATCCAGTACAACAACACCTTCCAGTTCATCAAGCACAACATCATCCTCAACAACACGCCTTCTAGCTCATCTAGCACAACAACTTCTTCAACCACCACTCCATCAAGCTCATCCAGTACAACAACACCTTCCAGTTCATCAAGCACAACATCATCCTCAACAACAACGCCTTCTAGCTCATCTAGCACAACAACTTCTTCAACCACCACTCCATCAAGCTCATCCAGTACAACAACACCTTCCAGTTCATCAAGCACAACATCATCCTCAACAACAACGCCTTCTAGCTCATCTAGCACAACAACTTCTTCAACCACCACTCCATCAAGCTCATCCAGTACAACAACACACTCTTCCAGTTCATCAAGCACAAACATCATCCTCAACAACAACGCCTTCTAGCTCAACTAGCACAACAACTTCTTCAACCACCACTCCATCAAGCTCATCCAGTACAACAACACCTTCCAGTTCCTCAAGCACAACATCATCCTCAACAACAACGCCTTCTAGCTCATCTAGCACAACAACTTCTTCAACCACCACTCCATCAAGCTCATCCAGTACAACAACACCTTCCAGTTCATCAAGCCCAAGGACACGAGAGGACATGCAAACGGACATCTATCGACACGCAACGATTGGAACTCCTATCTAGCTCATCTACACAACAACTTCTTCAACCTCCACATCCATCAAGCTTCATCACTACAATAACACCTTCCAGTTCATCAAGCACAACATCATCCTCACAACAACGCTTTCTAGCTCATCTAGCACAACAACTTCTTCAACCACCACTCCATCAAGCTCATCCAGTACAACAACACCTTCCAGTTCATCAAGCACAACATCATCCTCAACAACAACGCCTTCTAGCTCATCTAGCACAACAACTTCTTCAACCACCACTCCATCAAGCTCATCCAGTACAACAACACCTTCCAGTTCATCAAGCACAACATCATCCTCAACAACAACGCCTTCTAGCTCATCTAGCACAACAACTTCTTCAACCACCACTCCATCAAGCTCATCCAGTACAACAACACCTTCCAGTTCATCAAGCACAACATCATCCTCAACAACAACGCCTTCTAGCTCATCTAGCACAACAACTTCTTCAACCACCACTCCATCAAGCTCATCCAGTACAACAACACCTTCCAGTTCATCAAGCACAACATCATCCTCAACAACAACGCCTTCTAGCTCATCTAGCACAACAACTTCTTCAACCACCACTCCATCAAGCTCATCCAGTACAACAACACCTTCCAGTTCATCAAGCACAACATCATCCTCAACAACAACGCCTTCTAGCTCATCTAGCACAACAACTTCTTCAACCACCACTCCATCAAGCTCATCCAGTACAACAACACCTTCCAGTTCATCAAGCACAACATCATCCTCAACAACAACGCCTTCTAGCTCATCTAGCACAACAACTTCTTCAACCACCACTCCATCAAGCTCATCCAGTACAACAACACCTTCCAGTTCATCAAGCACAACATCATCCTCAACAACAACGCCTTCTAGCTCATCTAGCACAACAACTTCTTCAACCACCACTCCATCAAGCTCATCCAGTACAACAACACCTTCCAGTTCATCAAGCACAACATCATCCTCAACAACAACGCCTTCTAGCTCATCTAGCACAACAACTTCTTCAACCACCACTCCATCAAGCTCATCCAGTACAACAACACCTTCCAGTTCATCAAGCACAACATCATCCTCAACAACAACGCCTTCTAGCTCATCTAGCACAACAACTTCTTCAACCACCACTCCATCAAGCTCATCCAGTACAACAACACCTTCCAGTTCATCAAGCACAACATCATCCTCAACAACAACGCCTTCTAGCTCATCTAGCACAACAACTTCTTCAACCACCACTCCATCAAGCTCATCCAGTACAACAACACCTTCCAGTTCATCAAGCACAACATCATCCTCAACAACAACGCCTTCTAGCTCATCTAGCACAACAACTTCTTCAACCACCACTCCATCAAGCTCATCCAGTACAACAACACCTTCCAGTTCATCAAGCACAACATCATCCTCAACAACAACGCCTTCTAGCTCATCTAGCACAACAACTTCTTCAACCACCACTCCATCAAGCTCATCCAGTACAACAACACCTTCCAGTTCATCAAGCACAACATCATCCTCAACAACAACGCCTTCTAGCTCATCTAGCACAACAACTTCTTCAACCACCACTCCATCAAGCTCATCCAGTACAACAACACCTTCCAGTTCATCAAGCACAACATCATCCTCAACAACAACGCCTTCTAGCTCATCTAGCACAACAACTTCTTCAACCACCACTCCATCAAGCTCATCCAGTACAACAACACCTTCCAGTTCATCAAGCACAACATCATCCTCAACAACAACGCCTTCTAGCTCATCTAGCACAACAACTTCTTCAACCACCACTCCATCAAGCTCATCCAGTACAACAACACCTTCCAGTTCATCAAGCACAACATCATCCTCAACAACAACGCCTTCTAGCTCATCTAGCACAACAACTTCTTCAACCACCACTCCATCAAGCTCATCCAGTACAACAACACCTTCCAGTTCATCAAGCACAACATCATCCTCAACAACAACGCCTTCTAGCTCATCTAGCACAACAACTTCTTCAACCACCACTCCATCAAGCTCATCCAGTACAACAACACCTTCCAGTTCATCAAGCACAACATCATCCTCAACAACAACGCCTTCTAGCTCATCTAGCACAACAACTTCTTCAACCACCACTCCATCAAGCTCATCCAGTACAACAACACCTTCCAGTTCATCAAGCACAACATCATCCTCAACAACAACGCCTTCTAGCTCATCTAGCACAACAACTTCTTCAACCACCACTCCATCAAGCTCATCCAGTACAACAACACCTTCCAGTTCATCAAGCACAACATCATCCTCAACAACAACGCCTTCTAGCTCATCTAGCACAACAACTTCTTCAACCACCACTCCATCAAGCTCATCCAGTACAACAACACCTTCCAGTTCATCAAGCACAACATCATCCTCAACAACAACGCCTTCTAGCTCATCTAGCACAACAACTTCTTCAACCACCACTCCATCAAGCTCATCCAGTACAACAACACCTTCCAGTTCATCAAGCACAACATCATCCTCAACAACAACGCCTTCTAGCTCATCTAGCACAACAACTTCTTCAACCACCACTCCATCAAGCTCATCCAGTACAACAACACCTTCCAGTTCATCAAGCACAACATCATCCTCAACAACAACGCCTTCTAGCTCATCTAGCACAACAACTTCTTCAACCACCACTCCATCAAGCTCATCCAGTACAACAACACCTTCCAGTTCATCAAGCACAACATCATCCTCAACAACAACGCCTTCTAGCTCATCTAGCACAACAACTTCTTCAACCACCACTCCATCAAGCTCATCCAGTACAACAACACCTTCCAGTTCATCAAGCACAACATCATCCTCAACAACAACGCCTTCTAGCTCATCTAGCACAACAACTTCTTCAACCACCACTCCATCAAGCTCATCCAGTACAACAACACCTTCCAGTTCATCAAGCACAACATCATCCTCAACAACAACGCCTTCTAGCTCATCTAGCACAACAACTTCTTCAACCACCACTCCATCAAGCTCATCCAGTACAACAACACCTTCCAGTTCATCAAGCACAACATCATCCTCAACAACAACGCCTTCTAGCTCATCTAGCACAACAACTTCTTCAACCACCACTCCATCAAGCTCATCCAGTACAACAACACCTTCCAGTTCATCAAGCACAACATCATCCTCAACAACAACGCCTTCTAGCTCATCTAGCACAACAACTTCTTCAACCACCACTCCATCAAGCTCATCCAGTACAACAACACCTTCCAGTTCATCAAGCACAACATCATCCTCAACAACAACGCCTTCTAGCTCATCTAGCACAACAACTTCTTCAACCACCACTCCATCAAGCTCATCCAGTACAACAACACCTTCCAGTTCATCAAGCACAACATCATCCTCAACAACAACGCCTTCTAGCTCATCTAGCACAACAACTTCTTCAACCACCACTCCATCAAGCTCATCCAGTACAACAACACCTTCCAGTTCATCAAGCACAACATCATCCTCAACAACAACGCCTTCTAGCTCATCTAGCACAACAACTTCTTCAACCACCACTCCATCAAGCTCATCCAGTACAACAACACCTTCCAGTTCATCAAGCACAACATCATCCTCAACAACAACGCCTTCTAGCTCATCTAGCACAACAACTTCTTCAACCACCACTCCATCAAGCTCATCCAGTACAACAACACCTTCCAGTTCATCAAGCACAACATCATCCTCAACAACAACGCCTTCTAGCTCATCTAGCACAACAACTTCTTCAACCACCACTCCATCAAGCTCATCCAGTACAACAACACCTTCCAGTTCATCAAGCACAACATCATCCTCAACAACAACGCCTTCTAGCTCATCTAGCACAACAACTTCTTCAACCACCACTCCATCAAGCTCATCCAGTACAACAACACCTTCCAGTTCATCAAGCACAACATCATCCTCAACAACAACGCCTTCTAGCTCATCTAGCACAACAACTTCTTCAACCACCACTCCATCAAGCTCATCCAGTACAACAACACCTTCCAGTTCATCAAGCACAACATCATCCTCAACAACAACGCCTTCTAGCTCATCTAGCACAACAACTTCTTCAACCACCACTCCATCAAGCTCATCCAGTACAACAACACCTTCCAGTTCATCAAGCACAACATCATCCTCAACAACAACGCCTTCTAGCTCATCTAGCACAACAACTTCTTCAACCACCACTCCATCAAGCTCATCCAGTACAACAACACCTTCCAGTTCATCAAGCACAACATCATCCTCAACAACAACGCCTTCTAGCTCATCTAGCACAACAACTTCTTCAACCACCACTCCATCAAGCTCATCCAGTACAACAACACCTTCCAGTTCATCAAGCACAACATCATCCTCAACAACAACGCCTTCTAGCTCATCTAGCACAACAACTTCTTCAACCACCACTCCATCAAGCTCATCCAGTACAACAACACCTTCCAGTTCATCAAGCACAACATCATCCTCAACAACAACGCCTTCTAGCTCATCTAGCACAACAACTTCTTCAACCACCACTCCATCAAGCTCATCCAGTACAACAACACCTTCCAGTTCATCAAGCACAACATCATCCTCAACAACAACGCCTTCTAGCTCATCTAGCACAACAACTTCTTCAACCACCACTCCATCAAGCTCATCCAGTACAACAACACCTTCCAGTTCATCAAGCACAACATCATCCTCAACAACAACGCCTTCTAGCTCATCTAGCACAACAACTTCTTCAACCACCACTCCATCAAGCTCATCCAGTACAACAACACCTTCCAGTTCATCAAGCACAACATCATCCTCAACAACAACGCCTTCTAGCTCATCTAGCACAACAACTTCTTCAACCACCACTCCATCAAGCTCATCCAGTACAACAACACCTTCCAGTTCATCAAGCACAACATCATCCTCAACAACAACGCCTTCTAGCTCATCTAGCACAACAACTTCTTCAACCACCACTCCATCAAGCTCATCCAGTACAACAACACCTTCCGTTCATCAAGCACAACATCATCCTCAACAACAACGCCTTCTAGCTCATCTAGCACAACAACTTCTTCAACCACCACTCCATCAAGCTCATCCAGTACAACAACACCTTCCAGTTCATCAAGCACAACATCATCCTCAACAACAACGCCTTCTAGCTCATCTAGCACAACAACTTCTTCAACCACCACTCCATCAAGCTCATCCAGTACAACAACACCTTCCAGTTCATCAAGCACAACATCATCCTCAACAACAACGCCTTCTAGCTCATCTAGCACAACAACTTCTTCAACCACCACTCCATCAAGCTCATCCAGTACAACAACACCTTCCAGTTCATCAAGCACAACATCATCCTCAACAACAACGCCTTCTAGCTCATCTAGCACAACAACTTCTTCAACCACCACTCCATCAAGCTCATCCAGTACAACAACACCTTCCAGTTCATCAAGCACAACATCATCCTCAACAACAACGCCTTCTAGCTCATCTAGCACAACAACTTCTTCAACCACCACTCCATCAAGCTCATCCAGTACAACAACACCTTCCAGTTCATCAAGCACAACATCATCCTCAACAACAACGCCTTCTAGCTCATCTAGCACAACAACTTCTTCAACCACCACTCCATCAAGCTCATCCAGTACAACAACACCTTCCAGTTCATCAAGCACAACATCATCCTCAACAACAACGCCTTCTAGCTCATCTAGCACAACAACTTCTTCAACCACCACTCCATCAAGCTCATCCAGTACAACAACACCTTCCAGTTCATCAAGCACAACATCATCCTCAACAACAACGCCTTCTAGCTCATCTAGCACAACAACTTCTTCAACCACCACTCCATCAAGCTCATCCAGTACAACAACACCTTCCAGTTCATCAAGCACAACATCATCCTCAACAACAACGCCTTCTAGCTCATCTAGCACAACAACTTCTTCAACCACCACTCCATCAAGCTCATCCAGTACAACAACACCTTCCAGTTCATCAAGCACAACATCATCCTCAACAACAACGCCTTCTAGCTCATCTAGCACAACAACTTCTTCAACCACCACTCCATCAAGCTCATCCAGTACAACAACAGTTTCCTCTACTTCTTCTCACAGCCCTCGGCCTTACCCTGGAAAACACTGTGTTGTGCCTGCAGGTATCACAAATGTATTTTACATAGTATAGATCAAAAGTATTATTTCTGAACCTTATTAATATGAGTAATGGATGTGTATATGTAAATTTTATAATATATTTTACTTTTATGTATGAAATGATTTATTATTATGTATGAAATAATTATGTTGAGATTATACGGTATAAACCCGATTGTTTATAATTCTAGAGACGAAATAACGATGATTTTAACTTCAGGCTGGAAGTTTTATAAACTTTCCGAGTTTAAAAAAATTAATTTTGTTAACCCTAAGCGTGTTGCGGACTATTCTTAAGCCGGTATCTCTAATCTTTTATCTAACAACCCATATTTAGTTGCATCTGAGATCACAGCCACTCAGTTTATAGATACCTCAGATTTTGACTAATAATTTGTCAGGTGGCGAGAGAAAAGTTATAAAATTAGAGAGTAGGATTGGTGGTCGAGTGGTTATGGAGAGCCCGTATGATTCTGACCGAGGCCAAGGAAAGTTTTTGGTAACTGGCAAGGGTTTGGGAGCTGGCTTGAAGATGTCCGTTTTGAAGTTTGAACTCATGGATCTCGATATTGCTGAAAATGAGGTGATCAGTCGTTGTTCTTATAAAAGTCTAGTTTTATGTTGAAAGTCTAATTTTATGGTGATAAATGTAGCAAATAAAATAACACTAATGTTTTTAAAAATTTTAGATAGTGCATGTATGTATGTTGTATATTTAGAATTTATCAATACCTGATCGCGCCTGCCAGCACTTTTAAAATCAAATTTCAAAAACCCTTCATATTGCTCCGCTATAACCCATAAAAGTGAAATAACCTTGGCCGCTGATTACAGGACATAGTGATATACGACTCTGTCATACACATGAACCTTATGGATGTGTCCGGGTACCTGGGTCAGTGGAGACGCCAGACCACCTTGGTCCGTCCGGTACTTGTTCCTTGGAACAGGATAGATAGCAATTTGGGGCAACTTACTTCTTCTGCTAACATACTGTTGACTGAAGAAGAACAGGTATGTTACATGTTTGTGATGGATCATAATCACGCTGTTATTTCTCATCAACAAGTATTTATACAAATTAACTGAACCTATAAAAGTCCTACTAATCAGTTTTAACCCTCCCTCTCAAAGGGTGACAAGTTCCCGCGACTCCGGAATGAGCCAGACGAGGATCAGCTGGTGACCACCAAGTTCCTGGAGACTATGAGATATTGGTTCAACCTACGGGGTAGAGACCACTACAAGGTATGAAATGGGTTCCGCTCTCTGTTTAATCTTGAGCGCGCCTGAACAACTTAACGCATTATTTTGTGTTGAAAAGTAGCTGAAATCTTCGCCGAATGATAGCAACTGTTCCTTATTTTAATATCTATAGCATTGTTTTTAGTTTTTGATAGTTTAAGATTAAGTTAGGTGAAATTCGTCACTCTTCTACTGTAACGTAACGTTTGAACCCCAGACTAATCTCGGAGTAGCTCTGGTTAACAAGTACCAGGGTGGAGTTTCGGAGCAGACGGATGGTAAACCTATCAGGTTAGTTATCAAATTAAACTGTTCCAGTAATTAGAGCTGTGACAAGTTTTACCTGACAATTTGAAGTTTCACATTCTACTTGACGTGCTACTTACAACCAATTACTGTGCCGTACAATTTGTGGAGTTACGTAAAATCGTCGAACAAAGGAATTAGCGCGTGGTGTACAGTTGCCAGTTGCCAGTTGCCAGTTATAACTTTAAGTTACCAATAGCAACCACAAGTTGTCAGTGGTAATTTTAAGTTACCAGTTAAACTTATAATAATAACTTAAAATTAACATTAAGTAAGTAAACGTCCCACTATCACATCAGGTACTACAATTACGAGAATATCACTACTGCAGAGGACCGTACTCCCAGGATTGAAGTTTGCTACAAAAAGACAACTCTTAAAGTCTGTTCTGGGGACGATGTACAGGTACAATATATCACACTTACGTGTTTTGTTCTAAACTATTTGGTTGTTCATTTAGGCTTTAAGGACCTAATGGTTATTGAGATATAATTCCTATAATAATTATTAAATATTTTATTAAATACAAGTCATATTATTAGTATGTATTATTAATTTCAATACTTTATCCCTGGAAACACATTTCTGATAACCGCTTGATACATATAACCCAAATTATGTTATCAAAATCGAGCCTAATTAACATTTATATCCCCTCAGCACATATTACCAGTAACCATGGATACAGTACTTGTGGAAGGAGAGGGGAATGTTGACGGAACAGGACTTAGTGTTGGTGAGGATGGACAGGGGAAGAAGTACAGAACTGTTGTTTACGTGGACTTGGAGCAGTTTGATATTGGTAAGGGATCTTAGTTTATGATAGAATTTCAGATGCTCTGGTTAGAAATAAGTTTTAGTAGATTAGTGATGCATTAAATCTTGCGCGTATAATGTATATGTACACCAAGGTAAACAATTCGTGTCATCTCTTGAATATGAAGAGAAACATTAACAATAATACTTTATCTTAACTTCTAATCATATGTCTTCAAAATGTAAACCAATATCACTTAAAATTAAAATCTGACCATTCCCAAATGCGGACTTTGATCACTTAGAAATGTAAACCCTGATCATTAAAAAATTATATCCTGACCATTCGAAAACGTAAATCCTCATCCATCAAAACGGTAAACCTAAGCCCGATCACTTGAAAATGTAAATCCTGATATCGTCCATACTTGACATAATTCTGGCTAGATGGTTAAACAGCAGCAGGTGCATACTCGGAAAGATATCAGGAGTAAGAGTAGAGGCACAGGCAGTGTGTATTATTTGTGCTACCCCACAGTTCCTACACCTTAACTCTTTAACAGTAGCTGTAGGGAGGTCTCTACAGACTGACAGCACTGCTTCTCCTCTCCCTCCACAGCTGCATTTCACCTGGAGACGGTGATCACCTAGCTGTAACCGCTGCGCTGACAAAGGGATGTCATCACAGACCCCTGCCAGACGACCTATTGCGGATCCTGGGCGTGGTGAGGATGGCGAGCGGAAGATGTTGTTGGTTAATCTTCCGGATCCTACCATCTTCTCCGTGATGAAGGTGGTTAGAACAGCTCTCATGTACACGGGACAGAGAGATGAGAATCTGCAGGATCTGAGGAGGTGTTCACAATGCTGTTTCCTGTAAGAGTCAGCTGCTATCCAAACTAAGATCCCCTCCACTACCAAGAACTCTGTATCAGCCAGGTCCTCTTGCTCCACGATAGCCTGTACCTCCGTTACCTCCATGTTACTCCACTCCCTGCCTGCTATGTACGATGTTATACTCCTCCGTTTTATTTGCTGTCTGTGTCCTGTGGTGTGAGGTCCACTGTCTGTCTCTACTTTCTCTATGATCTGATCTGGAATGTTCTGTTTTGTCGGTCTCTCCCCCTTCTCGGAGCCGTTTGATTTGTTTTCACTCTTCTCAGTCCTGGTTTCTAACAAGCCGTTTTTGTCTTGAGGGGCTTCATGCCGGACAGCTGTACTGTTGTCCGTTTTCACTGCTTCTTGGTAAAGAGTTGAGAGCAGCACTTTGTCCTGTTGGGGAATCACATCACCCTTTCCTATGATCAGCTGGTTAAAAATCAAGTCGTAAACTTCTGTCTGGAGTTTACCTTTTGGTACTTTACTCAATGGTATGACAGACAGGACGGAGGCTGAGGATCTGAGATTTTCATCCTTCGATAAAATCCAACCTACTATTTTCTTGAACAGTTTGTAGCAATCAAATTTTTGCTCAGAGGCTGCTATTTTGCCTAACATCACAATTCCATCTAATGAACTTGACACGAAGTCTGCTTTCTCAATAATCTGAGCAAAGTTCTTTGTACAATATTCGTTAGCAATACGTGTCATGTGTGCGGAACCAGATATTTCATGATGTTTTAGCAGTTTCAGCACATTTTCAGGTGTTAAAACCGCCCCAAATACCTCCAAAACCTCTGTCATCAACCACTTCAGATCGAAGTGAACAGCAAAGTGCACGAAATATGTGATGTTATCCTCAGTTATAAGCCCACTGCTAACTCCCCCATAAACTGCAACCAGTATCTCTCTGCCCGTCTCACACGATACCTCCAACTTTGTTATATCCAGTCTGCTTACATTATCAGCCAGTCTGTCTCTAACTTTAGAGCTCAGAGTTCCGCCTGATGCCAACAGAATCACCCGGTGACATCTGAGGTCGCCATCAGTGCAGGTCAAAACAAAGTCTGATTCTTCTCCCGATTTTAATAAATCCCTCAACCCTGCACTCACGTCGTCTTTCCACGATCTCATCAACAAAACATACAAAGTTTTCAAGCAAAAGAGAAACGCGAACCGTATTTAAAAATCTCAAGTAGATCTCTCCATCAATAGATTGTTTATTGATGATTGCTAGCAATAGCTATTCAATTTACTTTCACAAGCGGGGCCGGGGAGGATGCTTGTTGAGCATAAAACTTGGCTGAAGTTCTAAGTTTTCACTGAATTTCAGTGTTTCGTTATTGAATAATAAAGACTATCATAAGCAATTAATGTGACGATCTAAAATGCAAAACAGCCACGTGACTTGAGTGATATCGTAATATACACACGATAATAGCACGCTATAAAACGAATACATGTTGAAGAGTGGTGCGGGTCTATTATTAGTCAAACTCAACACAGTTACAGTGGCTTATTGAAGAACTTTTAAATCCAGCTACCTCAGTGCCAAATTTTTGACTCAGTGCCAAATTTTTGATGCAAGCCCCTGCTTGGGATGATATTTTATGGACGTGATCATGTTTTTAACTTGACCAATAATAAACTTTTGAATCAAGTTATTTTTGTGATGACGTGACGAATTATCGCGAATAGTTAAGTATCTTTTCCTCACAGACCACGTGATACGAAAAGGACATGACAATTTCCCGAAAAATTCCTGGTTGGAGATGGTGATATCTGACTCCGAACGCAGCACATTTGGTGTGGACAGCGATAGAGCTATTTCTATACACCAGGTTAGTTTTACAATTTTACAGATGAAATGGAAGTTTGTAAATTGAAGGCGGCTTTAAATTTTTGAATTTTTGCAGAGTTTAACTGAAACCAACATACCACGGCATAATCATTTCGACTTTTCTCGCAGTACGAAGAATTTTCTCAATCAAAATCCAACGTAGGAAACAATTCTCAGTTAAAAACAAAATGGAACGAGACCACAGCCGACTGGAGCTCTTTATCGGAGGCTGAACGAAAACAGAACGCTGAAGATGTTGCCTTCTCCACTGTGTCGGACCGGCTCCCGAATACACGTATCCAGCTGGGTGTACAGACTATGATGATGAACTGGTTACTCAAGGGGGAGAATAACTACGGTATGTGTGGTCCGGGGGACTACTCTTTATTTTCAATTAATAGTTGCCATTAAGTTGCCCAGAGACTGTTGTCATTCTTGTATATGGACAAGTTTTAAATTCATTACTCCAAGGTCGTAAGGATTGAAAAAAAAGATAGAAATTTCAGTGCACATACGTTGTCCTAAATAGCTCAGTCAGTGAGTGTCTGATTGAGTTAATTTTGTCTGGTATGACTTGCTATTACCACTCATTCGAGGAATATATCGAATCAAAGAATATCCATGTTAATGTTTTTCCGAATGAAGGTTCATTTTCGCATTTATTTGATAAATTGAATAATCGGATCAAGCCAAATTGTATTGGATTGTGTTCTGCCATTCAAATTACATTTGTCCTGAAAAGTTGGAGTTCTAGCTTCTCAGATGACCGAGATATGAAGCATAACAAGTTTATTCATTACGTGTGATCAGGTGATTGGGTTGATACTAGAACCATGTAGATTGTAGAGTTGATACTAAAACCACGGTCTCGTAGCAAGCTAGCACATGATTAGTGATAATTGATTACTCCATCAATTTTGCTCCATCAAACAAATTGCTTGATAACTTTGTCATTTTACATCCCCCGCCCCGCCCTCTCCTCCTGTATATTCCGTGATTTCTCTATTCAGTTATAATGATTTAATGTTTGTCCAGGCATAATGCTGACAGATGAAGCCCCAGGAGGCCACGCCCTGTTCTCGTTCTACGATAAGGAAACTGGACCAGTTGGAACTCAGCCAAAAATCGTAATTTGCTTGCCTGCAGAGACTTCAGCTACTGAAACACCTAGTATGTTCACTCTATTAAACAACTTTCAGTTTTTAGAATCAGTACTGCTTATATTGCTTGTTGAAAGATGAGCTATTATTAGATGCTGTTAATCAGGTGGATGCTACCTAAATCACCAAACACCTTTGTAAAATTCTGACTTTTGTATCTTTTTTTTCCCCCGAATTTATTCTCCTCCGTCTAAAGGTTCAAGTACCAAGATACCTTGGTACACCACTAGTCCACATACTTCTACCTCTATTTGGACACTTGGGAAACCTAACAAGAAATGTCAAATGTTAAAGCATCCCTTGGATAAACATATTGTACAGATAATTGACAACTCAACGTGTGTCACTGTAAGTATTGATTAAATACATTTTGTTGGAGTGATTAAAATGTAATTAATCAATGAGTTTTAATACTTTCAACACTACTATATAACAAATAATTTGAGATTATGTGACTGATTAAATGCTGAAGATAAAAGAAATATATTCATTTTGCTAAGATTATGTTTGCGTTTCATTGCTCAACAGCTGTTCGAAGGATCAAATTTAAGATTAATCAATAATTAATTAATAAAGTAATTCAAACGTTTTTCACCACTGGTTCAAGTAGAGATTGAGATGAAATATTACATTATTGTTTTTTGACTGAATTGTGTTAAATCCCACAGAATCTGCCGTACACGACCCGCTACTGTCAGGACACAGCTGGAAGATGCTTAAAACGACAAGCAAGACACTTAAACGTCAGTTTAACAACTCAATCAGCATTTTTTCTTTTTTAAACCAACCAACAGATTCTCGTACAAAACTTAAAAATTGTTTGTTTTTCCCCTAAATACACCGGTCAGTATGCACAGGAATAAGACCTTTTGTTTAGTAACATTTTATCCCAGGGAACTATTATAACGTCATGTAGTTGCTGCCAAGCCATAACCGCAACTGTGAACGTTGAATGGGGATGTTATAATATGAATGGCGAAGGAGAAATTACAGCAAAGGTTAGTTTTTATATTTTGTAATCCATTTTTCATTGGTCTTTCATGGAAAGGCGCATACTTCATTTCTGTAAAAAGTGCACAAAAGGTGCTTTTTGAAATGAAAAACAAACTCAGAAACGAAATTATCTTCCTTCTCTGTAAAAAATTACAATTGCGTGAGTAACTTTTGTCGAGGTGACTCAAATTAATCTTATATACGATTCCCCCGTTGAAATTTCATATACAAGCGTCGACTAGCGTTGGACATGCGTTCTACGAAGTGAAATTTGAAAACGTCCTTACTATTACTTATTTTATTGCAGGTGTACCCGTACGAGTATATTACCAAGTGCATGTGCACTGTATGCGGTGAAAACCATAATGGTAAGTTCACATATTAAGTTCACATATTACGTAATCGTTCACATATTACGTAATCAGCCGAGGGGGGGGGGGTTTCAAATGCTTATGGTTGATTACGGGGGGGGGGGGGGGGGGGGTTTGGTCGTTGATTACGTAATCAAAATTTTAATTTTTTACCGATTTTCGAAATACCAATTGGATAATTTTCGTTAATTATGTAATCAAAATTTTCGTTTTTTAAACCAATTTTCGTTTAGTAAGTGCTTTGCGATTATTTCATTCATTAATCCGTTGTGATAGCTTTGAATAAATAAATGGCTTAACATGAACATGTAATATAGGAGGGGGGTTGGGTCTTGATTACAGAATTATATCCCACATTGTTAATTACATATACCAGTATATATTACATGTACTATAAAGTTCACACTTTTTACTTTTTAGAGAAACCGTTCACGCTACCCAGTACCGAACAGTCCACTACCGAGCCTGCCTGGAACCAGGGTAGTTCCGCACCTCCCCGAAACGGGCAGCCGACCTCCATTTTACAGTTTGGACTGCGGGACACGCATAGGTTCGATGATATTGCAGCTCACCATGATCAGGGAGTTCAAGATGGATTGCGTGAGGTGAGGTGGTCGGAGTGAGTAAGAAGCTTAGGTTGAGAGTTTGTTTGAAGGCTTCAGTTATCCTGTTTGGTGTAGAGGATATGCAGCATACTGTATACTGTATGGGATTTACAGTCAACAGTCAGGTGTCAACACCGCTGTGGATGTTTTTTCAAATTGGTTAAGATTATGGTTTTTTGTTATTAGTGACGATCGGGTTTTCTGAGTTTCAAAAATTTATGGTACAATCTATAATAGTTGTCAATGTTATTACTCATCTAAAATCCAACTCTATTTTACGATCTTTGACACACGGGTTCAATTTTATCGAGTGATGTTTCTTGAAGAGTGTATTTAACTTCGTCCTCTTATTAATTTATCGGGTCACTATTTTATTTTATCTCAAAATTTGAACGAAAACAAGGAAAATTTCCGATTTTTATTGTTTTAAATATGTATTGAAAAAGCATGACAAACTTTAAAATAACTTAAATATTCAAAGACAAATTCTGATAAACAAATCCAAAGCTAACGTTATTACATGGAAATATTATAGAAATAAAAGAAAATTTTGCATCGATTAAAAGAGAAGATCATATCTCTTAAGAGTCTGTAGCAACTGAAATATGCAAAAATAACAGAAAACTCAATTTTATTTATAACGTAATAATGAAAATTGATTGAAGAAAAAAAGCAAAATAGTTATAAAGCTACAGCCTGAAACATACATACAATAAAGAGTTCACAGATGATCAAATTTCTGGATAAAATAGGGGCGGGATCAATACGTTCCGTTCCCTTTTTCCTGGTCGAAATAACATGTCTCTCCCATTTCCCATTTGAGATTCTGTCTTAAATCCGTCTGAATGACTCTGAAAAGGGAATCTAGGTAAACTATAGGTAAAAATATAATATTAATCATAAGCTAAAATGTACTAATCTTTGTATTCTAAATGGGGAAAAAGAAGAAACATTGTCAGTCAGTCGAGAAAATTGTCAGTCAGGCTATATGGCAGCTTTGTAGATGTTGTGACTATGCTAGTAGTGGTCCCAGGCTTGCGACTGGAATTGCGGTGTTAAATCGATTTAATGGTACCAACGATCCACCTCCCACTTGTTGTTTGTTACTTAGCATTAATAGTGTTAGCTGTAGCCATTTATAGCAAGAATCTTAAAACTAAAGGGGATGACAAGGAAAAGAGGAAGGAAAAAGAATAACGGGACAAACAATTAATTAAAGTATTTATAGGAGTATTAGATATTGTAATTACAAGCTTCAATAATAAATCACTGACTAAAACTTCTAATTAAAATGACACTTGGTACGCTCGCCCATTTTCACTGGTCAGTCTGAACTTCGGTTTAGCACGTTGTACACTTATTCACCTAAGTTTCAGAATTTGTTCAGTTTAGCAGAGTTAGTACCTGTGTTTCAATAAATCAAAAGATATCAGGGGAGTTCTTTAATAATGTTACGGTCATCTAGAATACCGAACTTCCTGAAAACGTTATCATATTTCCTCAGACAACGTTTAATGCCTTTAATCAGTCTATCACGGCTATATCCTCTATCAATTAGAATTTTGAATATTTTGTGAAGATGGGAGGTAAAGATATCCAATCTAGTGCAAACATTACCATATCTAAGAACTTGACTTGAAAAAACGTTGTAGCCAACCTCGGTTGGGATGTTACTGTGAGGAAATGTAAGGGATACAACATGAAAATTAAAATCATCAGTTTTGTTATACACTGATATTTCTAGTCCTTCTGTGGAAATATTAATATTTAAATCAAGGTAGTTAATGATTTTATTATTGGAAGCAGCTCGCTCCATCTCCAATGAATTAGGATAAATATCTTTAATCAATTTATGAAAGTAAAGGTAGTTAATAATAGATAAATCGTCAACATATCGTTTATTATTGGATAATATCTTTGCTAATCCCATTTTCTTTTCCTGAAGTAAACGTTTCATATAATTAAATTCCTTTTTGCCAACAGTGAGATCAGCTATAGGGGAACTTGAATTTCCACCCATAGGAATACCCTTGGTTTGTATGAATACAATCCCACCGAAGACGACATAAGTGTTATAAATAATAAATTTAACAGCCTCTTTTAGGTCATCTTGACTAAAGCAGGCATGAGAATCATAGGTTTTATTGGAAAAGAAACATGTATTACTGTCTCTTTTAGAAATACAAATATATCTATTACGGTCTGAAAATATTAAATCAACAACTTCATTAATCATATTCTCTACTTCAATCAAGTCTAATCTGGTATAAAGAGTAGTAAAATCGTATACTTGTATATTATAAACATCGCTATTTTTGATAGCTTCAAGGAATTCACTTGAGGAATCTATGCTCCAAAACATGTTTATACCGCTGTTGTTGTAGATTGCCTCGCAGTATTTCTAGAAGTATTTCCTCAAAAGTTTCAGACAACAGTTAACTTGGACGTTAAGTTGTTTCGTAACGCAAAAACGGGCACCTGCAATGAACCTCGCCTTGTAAGGGTTCTTATGAAGCTTAGGGTTCCAGAAGATGCGTGCTAGTCGCAAGTTTTTATCTTCAACTTGTACATTAAATCTCTCCTTTAGACTCTCAGATATTTTATTGACATAATGAGTCTCGTCTTCGCTACAGGGTTTATATGTATCATTACCTATACATTCTAGAGTATTAGGATCAAAACCCATTTCATTGACAAGAGTTTTTACATAAAACTTTTTACAAATAAATGAAAAATTACCAGAAGCTTTGTCGATACTACAAATAATGTATTTACTTTTCAGCAATTTAAGACTTCTTTTAACATCATCTTTTTCCAGTGTGTTTTCTTTTATTTCAAATGTTTCAGGAAAGTTTTTCTTGTAATATTCAATACGACTGGAAACTATTGATAACACTTTTTCCTTCCAATCGCTGAACTTTACTTCTTTTTGACAGTACTTTCTACTTTTTGATTTTATAAATTTATCGACAGCTTCGGTAACTGACATATATATCTCATCTGGAGATTTAAATGTGGGAATCCTGTATTTACAACCGTAGGAAAGTACTTCCCTAAGTTCAACATTATCAACAATATCTAAATTACCAGTAACTACATGTCCATGAGGAGGATAATTGAAAGGGGAGGAGTGACAATCGCATGGACTACCTAAAATAGATTTAATATCAGAAATAGAAAGTTTCTTTAAGAATGAAGCATAGTTACAAATAGAAAGACTTATAGGATCATTATACTCATAATAAATCTGTAATGGTGTAAAAGACTGAATCAAAATGGGAAGCAAATCAATGACTGAAGTGTCAGAGAAAATAGATTTTAGGTTAAGATTATCAATGAATTTGCAATTAAATGGAACAATTATAAATTCTCTATTACTGGATTCAGATTTGTTCTGATGGTATTTGGGGGAAAATGTTGAACAGAAAGAGGAACATACGTTGTAAATCAATCCTGAATTATTTTGACTCAAAGAGTAGAGAGTGTCTAAATCTGATAAGCTATAACATTTTAATGTTTTGTATATGGAATGTTCTGAAGAGATGTTATCTTTCAGCCTGTTAATATCAGACTCTATGGTATCCAGAGACTTCTTAGGCTGAACTTTCTTCTTTCCATTCCCTCTGCCACGTTTGTATCGAGCAATCTGTCCACTAAAATAATTCATAACCCGATCTTGGGAGATGTTGCCCGTTCCTTTCTTCTTGTCATTAAGACCAAGAGGGAATGCTGTCCCAAGCTTCTCTATCCAGTAATCCTCCAGGAGAAGTAAATCATTTTTGACATCGGTGGACATGTCAGAATCAACATAATCTACAATCTGTATGGAAGCATCTGAGAAGACGTGACCAGGAATATTAAAATGTTCATATAAAAATGTGGATGATTTGGCTTTGACACAATTTCTGTGGCCATTGACTCTTTTGTGAAGTGGTTGAGTTGTTTCTCCAACATATTGTTTTTTACAGGTAGAACAGGTAATAACATAAATAACATTATTAGTTTTACAATTGAATATAAAATTTGTATGTCCAAAGATAAAATCATTATTAAAAGTACTGCTCCTAAATGTATTAACAGGATTAAAACTGTTGCAAGTGAGACAACCTCTACCATTGCAACATCTAAAAGTGCTAGAAAAGACATTACTAGGGGTTACCCATTTATTCAAGGATTTTGAGAAAAATTTACCATTACGTTTAAGTCAAGAAGGTAACATCATCCCTTTCGGCGTTTCCGCCTAGACCCAACGACTCGAGATAGGCCAAGGACAACGGGTCGGACATCAACCTATTGTCATGGGGCTGCCATGATTGGGCGGGCGTTAGATGTCATGAACCTAAATAGTTCTCCCACCGACGCAGTGTAGCCTGGCGAGATTCTTCGCGACCATAAAAATCTCTTAGAACCGGATCTTGCACTGCCGCTGTTTCTCGTACCGTAGCATGGCGGACAGCTCACGCCAGAAAATGAAATAAACGGGAACTTATAATAGCATTCCCGAGGTTTAGATTTTAATGGTGCTTACTGGGCGGCGGCCAACCTGTTATTCTGCTTTTATAGCGCTACTTTATCCGGCCAAGCTGCCCTACAGGCTACAACGGATTGGCATCAGCAAGCATTAAATTTAACTGGGGACCTTTCTTTTGATTGGTCGGCGTCGACTATAAGCCTTCCTTGCGGTGGCTTTCACAACGCGTCCCCATTCTCCAACTCCTGCTGCTAGAGAGAGAGACTCCCAAGTTATATACTATAATTATATTATACATAGATATCGACAACAGACTCCGAGAGTCTTGAAGTTCTGTTACCACCGCCCCTGGTGCAACCCCTTACGGGTTAACGATGAGGAGACAGGGACTTCCAGGGACGGTCATGGCCTGCTACATGCAACTCGTAGGAGTATGCAATGTTCCTGTAACGTCACTGTATACCACTCCTCTGTCGTTGTTTTGAGTGTCCGATCCAAAAACCAAATCCTAGGGTACACGAGACGTAGAAGCCTGTGAGCGTGTTAGAGTCTGTTAAGTGTTAGAGTCCTAGGGCTACACGAGACGTCGTAGCCTGTAAGCGTGTTAAATCCTGGGGTTACACGAGACATGGTAGCCTGTGAGCGTGTAGTCCGCTCCTCTATCGTTGTTTTGAGTGTCCGAACCAAATCCTAAGGTACACGAGACGTGGAAGCCTGTGAGCGTGTTAGAGTCTGTTAAGTGTTAGAGTCCTAGGGTTACACGAGACGTGGTAGCCTGTGAGCGTGTTAAATCCTAAGGTTACACGAGACTTGGTAGCCTGTGAGCGTGTAAAATCCTGGGGTTACACGAGACATGGTAGCCTGTGAGCGTGTAGACCGCTTCTCTATCGTTGTTTTGAGTGTCCGATCCAAAACCAAATCCTAGGGTACACGAGACGTGGAAGCCTGTGAGCGTGTTAGAGTCTGTTAAGTGAGTCCTAGGGTTACACGAGACGTGGTAGTCTGTGAGCGTGCTAAATCCTGGGGTTACACTAGACATGGTAGCCTGTGAACGTGTCAAATCCTGGAGTTACACGAAACATGGTAGCCTGTGAGCGTGTAGACCGCTCCTCTATCGTTGTTTTCAGTGTCCGATCCAAAACCAAATCCTGGGGTTACACGTCATGTGGGGGCCTGTGAGCGTGTTAGTTTCCTGCGGAAGGTGTTATTTGCCTGTGGGAAAAGCGGTTATGCTGCGGTTCTAAGGTTAGTAGAGGCTATTAGAGCCTTTCCTTGTTGTAGAGATGGCTAGTCCCTTCCTTTGCATAGGTTAGAAACACCCATGCACCTCCCGTTCGAGCCACCCACCCCACACCGCGTGGAGGTTCGGTGAGGTTTTTCGTGGGGCAACTGGGGACCTAGGCTTTAGGGTACAAAATGAAAATATTGTGGGATGACAGACTGAGCGCCGCCCAGTAAGCATTAAATCCGGAACATATGATGTGTCTCGAACATCGAACGAGTCATGATTGTTTTACCTGGGGACCCCAGGCTATTATGTTCATAAACATACCGATTCAGCGGACTGACAAGCTGCGCGCCGCCCAGTAATGATTGTACTGTGAGAGTGAGAGACATACATTTTACTGGCAACACGTGGCCTGGCTAGATATATAGGCCTGGCTGCGCGCGCGACGGTGTTTATTTGCGCGAACATTTGCTCCCCGAGATTAAAGCGGCTTCCAATTTGAGTCTTATGTAGACCCTTTGCTAGCTTTGTGGATCTAATGGGCAAATACATGGAAGTAATTATCAGTGGCATGAGTTCGCACTGAAGTGTAGGTGGTTTAAAAACAGTGAGAGTAGTATGATGTAACGCAGATTTTGGGTTTTTTTAAAGACTCAGAAAGGCGGAAACATGTGAATAAGAAAAGTATTTAGCACTAAGCAGTAAGCAAACAAGGCGAGAAATGTATATTCGGCAGGATGCCAGGCTGACTCATTACGGACATGTTGTAATATGCACAGTTTAGCCCAAAAACAAAAGTATTCTCCAGATCCTTTTTTGTTAAATGAGGCCTGAAATAGTAGATAGTCGTGTGTTTCAGATGATCTTTTACATCCTTAATTTTTTTGATCGCCCAGTCTGAAACCCAGTCCCTGAAACTAGCTTACTTTAGCTACATTTCTGCCGTTTTCTGACAAAAGTGCTTAAGTAACATTTTGGAAATTTCGGGTTTTTTGGTCTAACTTTTGTTTTTGGGTCAAGAACTATCCCTGAGGACCATTGGATACATTAGCCGACCCCCCAAAACCCCCTTTTTGGAACCCCCTAAAATGCAAAAAATGGTCATTTTTCTGAGAAAAGTGCTTAAGTAACATTTTGGAAAACGGGTGCCGTTTATTTCAAAAATGGTGCCATGTCGGGAACTGAAAACGGTGGCATTGTTTTCTACGTCCAAAACTGGCCTAGTGACGGCAATTTGGTGATCGTGGGTCTTTTGGCCTGGGAAAAAACAATTTATGTCACTTAAGCACTTTTGTGAAAACGGGCTCGTTTTCTCACAAAAGTGCTTAAGTGCCATTATACGTTTAATTAAATGTTGATTCTGCCAACTGAAACTATATAATCGGTACTAACAAATCTAAATTTTCATGGCGGATCGATTGGTGATGGTCATAAACTTCAGAAACGCTAGCTTTGCCGTCAAAATTGCCGATTTGTCAATGCAGAACGTTTCAAAATATACGTCATAATTTGCTCTAAAATTTGTTATTCTCTTATAAGTTGAGACTGGCGGGATTATCGACAGGCAAGGGAACATTACCAAAGAGATAGAAGCGATTTGCTTCACTGCTCCTTCTCTGTTGATATGGAGAAAGTTCTTTTATTACCACACATGCCGGAGTACAAAGAGGCGATTTTTACAAGACGCCTTGTCACATTTAACAAGACCTTCGCGAGGCTGGGGTCAGACGGAGCTCCTTCAGCGATTCTTTGGAATGAGTCCATCGCAGGAAGGAAAGATGAGAATGTGTCCTCGATTGGTGGTAGCAGGGAGATCATTTTTTGGGCAGACAATTGTTCTGCTCAAAACAAGTGTTGGACTTTATTTACTGCCCTATGTTCAATTATCAACAGCCCAGATGTTGACCTGGACAAGATAACGGTCAAGTATCTAGAGCCAGTGCACACCTTTATGAGTGCAGACTCATTCCACCATAAAGTGGAACTGGAGTTGTCCATTAAACAATCAGGTCAACTTCATGATTATAAGGACTTTGTTCGGGCAGTTGAACAGGTGGGTACTGCGATAAGCATGAACTGCACAGACTTTGAATCGTGGCCAAGGTCCTACGGAACAAGAAACTAAAAAACTAAAGATGTTAAAGTTGTAAGTTTCCAGCGTGGGTCTGTAGAAATGGAATGGAAAACAAATCATGACGAGGTTTCCTTTCATTTCACTCCATTTCTCAGACAAAAAGACGAGAGACTCATTTCCAATTTTCATAGGTTGAAAAATAGCTTTCGCCCAGGAAGAGCCCCGGGGGATAGCTACTCCCAAAAAACAAGACATTATATACGTAAACTGTGCAGGCTTATGGCCCCGAGTAGTAGGGTATTCTGGATGAACTTGCCTGAGTGTTTGACTAAAAATCATCTATTTCTTGTATTATTTACCATTTATTTATGTACAACAATTATGTTACATTTTTATACGCTTGTTTTTCTTTGCCTCGCGTTACGATATCAATAATTCGCAAATCATTGGTCTTTATGAAGAAAGCCTCATCTGAGTTCTTAACTTAATTTCTAAAGAAAGAAAATTATTTATTATTATCCCGTACTTTCACCAATCAACTCTTCGTTGAAATGCTGGTAGAATTCCGACTATTTTTTAATCCGATGGGGAGGAGGGAGTGTTTTCGTGTTCTTAAACCACCACCAATCAATTTGTCGTAAAATTTTAGGTCAGAATAATCGCAGATAAAGTTCCCACTAATGTGGCTGTACTTAAGCACTTTTCTCAGAAAACGAAATGTTTAAATTTTCTATTTCAGCGTGTCCCCTATTTACAACCAATGTTTCATCACAACAGTTTTAGGCTAATTTTTCGTTTTACTTTCGATGACCAATGGTTTGAACGGGTCATTTTCATCAGAACATTGAGCTTTTGCTGATGTGGCTGTACTTAAGCACTTTTCTCAGAAAACGTAATTTCAAATTTTCTATTTCAGCGTGTCCCCTATTTACAACCAATGTTTCATCACAACAGTTTAGGCTTATTTTTCGTTTTACTTTCGATGACCAATGGTTTGAACGGGTCATTTTCATCAGAACATGTAGTATTTGCCGATGTGACTGTACTTAAGCACTTTTCTAAGAAATTCAAACTATAATTTGTGATTTTGAGGCACTTTCCGAGAAGTTAGGATGATGAAACCTTGTCATAAGTTTCAAAAGTCGACAAAGTACCTTAGAAACATAGTGGGTGCAGTTTAAATTGGACAGTAGCTAGCCCAGAGCAATTACAGAATTGAAATCTTTAAAGTCAATTTGCACAAAATGAACCTTGTGTTACTTAAGCACTTTTGTCAGAAAACGGCAGATTTACCCCAGTAAATTTAACATAACTATAACGGACCTGAATATCTCACTATAAGTAACTGATTACAACACTGTGTATCAAGTTTTACCAGTTTTAAAGCCGCACAGGAGATCTGGATCTGGATCTGGATCTCTTCTGGCACGTGACCCTGATTCTGCGTCCATCTAGATCAGTGTTATCCAGTCTTTTAACAGCTGATCTCATTTCAGATCTTCTTGCGAAGTCAACTATCCTGAAACAAATCGTTCTTCAAATATGGATATCCGAACTAGTACTCTCCGAATTTCATAAAAGGTACTTTTGAATTTATAACCCTAAAGTTAAGTATGAGCAAGTTCCTCGCCACCGATTTGCAATGTCCTAGCTTGAAAAGTGCTTGCTCCCACAATGAAGATAATAACTAGGCACTATGATAAAAGGCTGCTCAGCTCATATCGTTGTCGTACGGGGAGGCTATAAATAGACTCAAGACATTGTGTAGCAAAAAGTGAGAGCGCCTGCTGGGGAGTAAGATTCTGAGAGCTGCTTTGTTGAGAACAGGCTCATTTTACTGGGGATTGTACAACACCTCGTACAATGGAATGTGGTGTGTTGTCTCCCTGAATATTTACAAAAAAGTGAGCTTTCGCATGAACCAATTACTTTGGTTGTGATTGGTATTTTTGATGAGGCAAAAAAGTATTCATTAGAACCAAACTTTTTACAGATGGGAGCTAGATTATAAAGCGAAATTAGAACGTAACTGATTTTACATTTCCTCGAATATTTCTGCATTTTGTTTTCTAGTATACTATAATATAGTCCACATATAAGGTGATAAATTTAATTACAGATTTTTGAAAAACCACAATGTCAGTGGTGAGTAGTGGAACAATTTAGAAGAGTGAATCAGTAAATTAGCAACACTGGATTCAATATCGTCCCAAAGCTTTCACTCCTACTGAAAGAACCGCAATTGCAGAGACTCTTTACAGGAAGCTTTTGCTTCATTTGGTCTCGAATGAACACTCAAACTCAAATAATCAATAAGTGACTCTGCAAATGGTTGCTGTTAAAATGTTAACACCATTGAAATACCACGCAAGATAATGTACTTGACCAGTGAACACCCTGGTAACCCCATTCGTGACCAACCACTCATGTAACGTAGCTAAACGCAAGGTAGGTTGGCAGCGTTTCTTACTATTGTGGAGACAGTTTTATGAGAGTTACAACTGGCACATTACATGTATTATGTAATTGTAAAGAGGTTAGTTACATGGGGGCTGGGTGGCCTAGTGGTTAGAGCTTCCGCCTTCTGTACAGAAGGTTAAGGGTTCGAATCCCAGTATCACCCAGTCTAGGGAGTAGCTAAGGATTCATTGGATCTATGCGATCTCCTCGGTCGACTCAGCCGAATGATAGGAAACTTGATTGAGGGTTAAATGAGGAGGGGTGCCTGTGCCAAAAGATCAAGAATCTTAGGATACTCCTTCAGAACATCTACAATGTAGTGTACTGTAAAACAAGGGCGGTCGAACTATTCGATGACCCTGTAGAGGAATCTACGAACTTTACAAATTACAAATAATTATTATGTATTATGTAATTGTAAAGAGGCTAGTTCGTGAGAGAGGTTATACAATATCACACAATATCACACAATATCACACAAAGCTTAGCAGACACATCAGTCGTGTTACATCCCAGAGCCAATATGTAGGAGTCAATGGTGCACAGTTTTGTGACTTTGATACCTACGATTTGAGATCATTAATCACAGTTTAGACTGACTAAATACTCACCCTTGTCTCTCCTGATAACGGTGAGCATCAGCAAACGTCACCTCCCCAACTCTCCTAAAATAATCTTTCAGTTCCTGAGAATAATTTATTTAGACTCTCCTCGAAATCAGGAAATTGTATCTTGAGTATCACTTTTATTTATTATGTATTATGTACGTCCTTAGTAAACCTATTTACAATACTCGGCTGTACAAACTGATAATCATATTATGATAATATCACAGCCCGTTAATTTACTGCCTCTTAATACAATGTTGATTGTAAATGATAAAAATTGCAATTGCCCAGCTATAAAGGATGGACACGGCGTGTATTACACAGCATAATTAACGTAACACGTAATTAGTTTATAATTGTTGTAACACTATGCTAGTAGATTTAGAGAGCAACAAAAGTTGAACAATAGAATCCAAAATAATTGTTTTATTAACAATGAGGACTTTGGGTTCTTTTGCGATAGTCAAAACGCGACAACTAGCGCTGGATGGTGACAACTAGCGCTATCCAGCGCTAGTTGTCGCCATCCAGCGCTAGTTGTCGCTATCCAGCGCTGGATAACGCTGGCCAGCGCAAAATATATATGTTCGATAATTGTCGCTATCCAGCGCTAGTTGTCGCCATCCAGCGCTAGTTGTCGCCATCCAGCGCTAGTTGTCGCTATCCAGCGCTAGTTGTCGCTGGCTATGCGACACTGTCGCACGCGATAGTTTGCGATGGCCAGCGCAACTGGCCATCGCAGAAAACAGTTCGATAACTAGCGCTGGATGGCGACAACTAGCGCTGGATAGCGACAACTAGCGCTGGCCAGCGCTGGCCAGCGCTAAGCGATAGCCAGCGCTGGCCATCGATATCCAGCGCAAAATCTTTGCGCTATTACTCGTCAGCTAGCGCTGGCCAGCGCTAGCCAGCGCTAGTTGTCGCTATCCAGCGCTGGCCAGCGCTAGCCAGCGCTAGCCAGCGCTAGTTGTCGCTATCCAGCGCTAGCCAGCGCTAGCCAGCGTTAGCCAGCGCTAGCCAGCGGTAACCAGCGCTAGCCAGCGCAATGTATCAAAATCATATACTTGCGATATTACTCGGATGATGATTAATCACTTTAGTTTTACACTTGACTGTCACGTGCCTTTTTTAATCCATTCTCTGACTCTAGCTGGTTCTGAACGACTTTTCGAAACCCCAACCCTCTAAGTCTAATCTGATCCCAACCCTAACCCTAACCCAATCCTTAACAAAAACATATATGCTGAAACCCTAACAATAACGAGAAATTAGACTAACTTCCTTATACGGTCATATCACGTGATTGATTGATTGAGGAGCACTACCCGAAGGCATTACTCGGCACTAACGCCTTAAAATCTTTAATTACAATCAAATATAAATATATGCACACAATGTATAAAATATTAATAATGTATAAAATATGATTACGCAATTAGCAAATTTAAATAGTACTATTAAGAATTTGAAATAACTCTTATCTCTTGACATAAATTTAGAACAGCGACACAGGGTCTGAAGAATGCGCGGTGATATTTTTATCTTTTAAAAGTTGTAAATGACAGTGAAATTGCGCTGTAGCGATAGCATTGTAAAAAATGCTCGAAGATAGTCATATTTCGTTATGAGGTTAAAGTTTTGTTGCTCGTTATTATGATCAACGTATGTTGTACCAAATTATTTAAATTTCTAAAAGTACGAAATTTGAGTTGTTCCAGTCCTTGTCATCCGGGTTAAGTGCTTGTGCAGTAAGCACATGCTTGCTGACTGTAGACTTGAATGAATTTAGGAATTTGTCTTGTAGGCAAGTGGTGACGTATTTTATGTCCTTGTTAATAATGTTGACTGTTTTGTTATATAACTTAGGCCCAATGTAAGAAATGCTCTTGTCTGAATTACATAAACGGTTAAATGGTACTGCAAAGAACTCAGGTTCTCTTCTAGGTGCGTTTAAGTTTGAAACAGTGAACATTCTTATAATATTTGGTGGTGCAGTGTTAGAATAAACTTTGTGCATTAAGCATAATATACATTTAGCTATCACGTTCGGTAAAGCTAATACTTCTAGTTTATTGAAAATTTCCTTTGTGTGTGAAGGTGTGCTATTCAGATCTTTGTCATAAAAATAGCGGTGGTATTGGTTATCTGCAGCGCGAATGCCCTTTTTCTGGGCCGAGAAGACTCTTTTAACGGAGTTTAGCGATCTTGTTCCCCAAACTGTGCAGCAGTAGTACAAGTGAGACTGAACAAAGCTGTTGTATATCAACTTGAGTGCTTTGTTAGGTACTGAGCCTTTGAGTTTGTAGAGAATGCCCGCATTTCTAGATACTTTAGTGGCTAAATGTCTAATGTGGTGGGCCCAATTTAGCTTGGTATCAATGATCACGCCAAGAAACTTTTCGTGATAACTTTGCTTTAGTCGTTCACCTCCCATGTAGATTTCTATATCCTCAGTTTTCTTATTTGTAAAGATCATATATTTAGTTTTGCTAGCATTTAATTTGAGCCCGTTATTAGTAGCCCAATCAATTATCAAAGTCAGAATCTCATTCACCATTGCATTAAGTTGTTCAAAAGTATCTGTACTTATTATTAGGTTAGCATCGTCAGCGAAATAAATATGTTTAGCTAAATTACTAATCTGAGGAAGGTCGTTGATGTAAATTATGAACAGAATTGGTCCGAGAATGGAGCCCTGTGGAACTCCGTAGTTAAGTTTGAGGTGAGCGGACTTGCAGTTGTTGACGCTCACGTATTGCTCTCTATCGGTTAGATATGAGTCAAACCAAGATAAAGCCAACCCCCGAACTCCATAGTGCTCAAGTTTTCTCAGAAGAATACTGCTGTCAACCATGTCAAAGGCCTTGCTGTAGTCCAATAGAAGCAGTGCTGTGACCTGCTTTTTTTCTAGTGCCCTGTGAATATGGTTTTGGGCTTCTAGTAAAGCATGTTCGCAGCTATGCCCAGCCCGAAATCCGTATTGAGAGTCAAATAGGATTTTCTCTGTCTTTAAGTGATCTATTAGTCGCGCTTGCATAATTTTTTCAAAGATTTTTGAGAAACATGAGAGTAGTGAGATAGGTCGATAGTTTGAAACTTCAGCACGTGACCCACCTTTGTGAAGTGGAATTACTTTCGCGATTTTCAATTTATGTGGAAACTTCCCCTGATGTAGAGACGCAGAGACTAGGCAGCTAAGCACTGGTGCAAGTATATTGCTCACTTTTTTCAGGGGAAGTATACTCATATCAGAAGTCGACTTAATCTTCAAACCCTTAACTATTTCAATTATTTCTGATGCGGACGAATCTTCTAGATTCATGCTCCGCTGGCATCTGCTATCTTGAGTTTCTGTTACGATAGTCCGGCCCTCGGAGCATACGAGACCGTTTTCTCTCTTAAGAGTCTCAGCTATATTGCAGAAATAGTCATTGAAGCTATTCGCAATTTGCTGAGAATCTGTTATCTCGCTCCCATTATAGTTAATTTTGTTTATCGATACATGTACAGTTTTTCGCCAATATCTCGTCAGGAGAGCATTTTAACCCTATGTCATGGGCCCATGGGGGTTGATTCGGAATTAGCGTCCGAAAATACATCGATTGAAGTTGGACACAACCATCGGGGGCCCTTTTAGAACAATCTCGAAGATCGACTGTAGAGTGATTTAGCACGCTCGATATTAGTATTACTCGTCAGCCAGCGCTGGCCAGCGCAATATAGTTGCGATATTACTCGTCAGCTAGCGCTGGCCAGCGCTGGCTAGCGCTGGCTAGCGCTGGCCAGCGCTGGTTAGCGCTAGCTGACGAGTAATAGCGCAAAGATTTTGCGCTTGATATCGATAGCCAGCGCTGGCCAGCGCTGGCTATCGCTTAGCGCTGGCCAGCGCTGGCCAGCGCTAGTTGTCGCTATCCAGCGCTAGTTGTCGCCATCCAGCGCTAGTTATCGAACTGTTTTCTGCGATGGCCAGTTGCGCTGGCCATCGCAAACTATCGCGTGCGACAGTGTCGCATAGCCAGCGACAACTAGCGCTGGATAGCGACAACTAGCGCTGGATGGCGACAACTAGCGCTGGATGGCGACAACTAGCGCTGGATAGCGACAATTATCGAACATATATATTTTGCGCTGGCCAGCGTTATCCAGCGCTGGATAGCGACAACTAGCGCTGGATGGCGACAACTAGCGCTGGATAGCGCTAGTTGTCGCCATCCAGCGCTAGTTGTCGCGTTTTGACTATCGCAAAAGAACCGGACTTTGTTCACATTTATTATAATTCGCTCTAACATTTTTATGCAAAACGAGCGTAAATATGCTTTGCACCGACGTTCCGTTATATCATATTATATAATAGAACCGAACGGCGGTGCATATATAATATATAGACTTTAGAGGGGAATTAACATAAAATCTAGATCCTAGAATTTAGAATTTAGAATCTACAATCTACATATTGATGAAAACATACCCTACCATCTAATAACATGAGCTTTCAAACAACTACCACCAACACTTGACCAACCATTTGAACCAAATACGACTTGACTTGACTTAAGGCGGCTTCAGCGACCAGATGCTCCACCAAATGTTCCACCAAATTGTTCCAATTGATTTGAACAATGTTTGATCCAGTTCTGCTCCCGAGCGTTAGATGTGAGCGTTAAAAGAGATAAGAGAACCAGTAAGTACCATAAACTGACGTACCAATTAATATCTTGTCACGATACCCAACATTTTATCGACCAACGTAGCTAATAGCTATAGTCACGTAGATAAAACCACAAATAACGGGGTACTGGTAGATCGTTCATTTTCATTTATCTACAAGAACTAGATCTTCAAACAAAAATGTTAAATGTTAAATTTTAATTATTTAGTTTAATTGACAGCCTTGACTACTGCTGAATACTTTGAACACATAGTTAAAAGTATATTATTTACACGTAATAATAACCTGCATATTTGAATGATCGGTCCTTCATTTCTTGCCAAAAATATGTTTTACTTCTCCACAGTCCACAAACATATCATATCATATCATTTATCTAACATGTCATTAACATGTCATTAAGTGATAAACTATTATATTGAATAAAAAAGCTGATACAGTTATATTTTTAAATAAATAAACTCAATGTTAAAGTAATTTTACGATATAGCTTTACCGTGTGCATTTTTGTTCAATAAGCTAATTGTTAAATGATAATTAGATTAAATAATTAATTAATTAACCCACTCTCCATGTAGTCCTCGTACTGAGATTGTCCACCACAACTCTGTTTTCCGTATTATAGGGACGAATCCTCGTGTGACTGTAATAACAAGCATGTTAGTAACTGGGAAATTACAGATTTTACATTAGCAGTAGAGTAAAATGTATCAAGATAGACAGCCTCATTTATATTCATTTAATGAGCATAGTTTACTTACTATATGGCACCTTGCATTATCCAAGAACGTAATATTAAAAGAGTTGAAACTAGATCTACATTCTACATATAATGTATATGACATTTATATTGTATATTTTACTTTCTTTTTGATTTACCTGAACTTGCGTAAACAAAAAGAGCACAGATGGTGTAAACCATTTTGACCTCCCTAGAAAATTCATTTGACTGCGTCTGAACTCTGAGCTAATCAAAATTTTCTCAGGAAACTAAGGTATTTGACTCTTCATACATCTTCAACAATGGAGAATACCCCGTACGAAAAGAACAGATTGGTAATTGCATCCAGCTGACATTGTAAATTCCATCATTACTCATCAGACCATAAGGGCACCATGTCGGCAAATTTACCATTCTTGATAGAACACAGCGCACACTTATTACACAGAAAATACTGGAAGATAACTAATACGTCAAATCAATTTCTTTTACAAATTCTCTTGTTTCGAGTAACCTAATTTCCAGAGACCTTAACAATGAAGAAAGTTACAAGAGACTGACCACTAGGTACCTGCTAAACAAGAGCCGGGTTTTTCTAAACACCTGCTCCCAAAACAGGGCTGGAAAGGGAGCTCTCTAAAGGGAGCTCTTTAGAGGCACTTAAACAATTTACTTATTACAGAGCTGAACACGTGAGGCTCTCTCTATCTCGTTAAATATTAACGCCGATATATCGATCATTTATTGAGTTTAAGCTATTTTCAAGGTTGAGTGAGTTTCAGGGTTAGTGGCAGCTTGGTTCATGATTTTAGCACGTCTTGTTCTAACCTTAAGTTTCAGTTTACACTTCGTTTTATTTGAGAGCTTATATCATTATTGCCAAGAAGCGGTATAAGTAGACGGTATAGTAGACTGAAGTTGGAAATTGGCATCGTCCGTTCTTTTAGAGCCGTCTATAATCCAGTATTTTCACAAATTTGTCAGGTTCCATTATGTGAAGTGTAATTTTTCGAAGATACGATAATATATTCATTTCTGTCTGACATGTAGATATTTGAAGTTTGGTCTTCTTCAGAATTGGGCTACAACTACACGCAGGCATATCATCTTATATATGGTAAAGTTGTCTTCAACAATATTCGCGCCATCGTATAAGGATCACTTGCAATAAATGTGTTGGATTTTCTTAGAAGAGGCATCTGGTGATACTTGAAAATTGGTAAGAAATTATCATGTCAACTATAATCCTTGCAACTGACAAAGATTATCACAGAATTATATCAGAATGCATGACTGGCAATCGTCTTGAAGCAATCATATGTTGCTGCTACAATCTACCTACGTTGGTACAGGAGTCACAAAATAAGTAATTTCATGGACGACAATTTTGTGATTACATTAAAGTACTGATACTAATGATGGTGTTGCGCCAATGGAAATGGCGAAATACAATCCACTCTTTCTATCGGTCATTTTGGTGGACTGCATAATTAGTGATTGCACATGTGGTCACTGCTCATTGAGAACATATGATAGATTCGAGGGGACTAAATACATTTCCCCGCCGGGGAGCCTTTAAAATAAAGATTATAGGAACGTGAATATTGTAAATGTATTTTGTCCTTTTCCCTTTGTTTGCTTAATCTTCTTTGCCCCTCAGCTATAATACTTATGACAGAAGAGTTGATCACAACCAGTCACCGAGTGATAGTGACATTTTGGGGTTTGGTCGCTCTCATCTGCTTTGTTATCGGATGTCCAGCTAACTTGATAGCTTTCACTTTCTTCGCTCGGTACAAGAAGAGTAGAACTAGTGGAGTACTTTACATCTTAATTACGCTCATTGATGCCCTGATTTGTGGGTTCGGATTTGTTATTGGAGTATCAGGAGTTCTCAACAACAGCAAGGTTTTTAATCTGTGTCATGTTTATTTAATAATTGTTTAATTTGGAGTTATAGAATGTCAGGTGTCTGTGGTTTTGATGATATATCACACAACTCCTTTCAGGTGCTGATTGGTAACTTTACATTCTGCCAAATCTATGGAATATCTTGGTTTACTCTAGACATAACATCAATCTTTGTTATGGCTGTCCTCAACCTGTGTAGAACCATCTCAATTTACCAGCCCTTTAGAGCTATACAGAAGAAGACAGTGTTAATCCCAGTTTTAATCTACATCACAGTGACCATCCTCGACACCACTTTTCCACTGTGGTTTGGAAGTTTCTACAAACCGGACTATGATGGAGTTCAATGTAATTACAACATGCCCAAAATTATGCCCTACGATTCACTACAATTCAAAATTTATCTAACCATCCACACATCAGTCAATCGTGTCATAATCCCTATGATAATAATTATCTGTTGTATTTTGTCGAGTGTCAAGATTTGGAACAATCGGGCTACAAAAGTGCAGTGCAGCAGAAGAAATAGCAGGGGGCAAAGGTTAAGACAGAGGAGAAGGATTGAGGCAACTAAAACAGTTGTCTTGTTAGGAATCATATACATACTGTTAAACATCCACTACAATGTGATATACGTAATGAGTCTTTATCACACATTGAGCGGAACCAGTTGGTAAGTTTTGCTAGAAAATTTGATAACTTAATGTCCCCTGCCTTGAAGATGTATTGAATATCTATGAAGAGTAACACTTCATTTAAAGGAAGGATAAAAATATAAATTATCTTAATTTTCAGGTACCTGTTCCCAGAAACAACGAATAAGGCTATGAGTGGCTTTTACGAGTTCTCAGCCTACTACATTTACGTTCACTGTATTTTACTGAATTCAACTATCAACATCATTATGCTGTACATAAGAACAAATAAGATCAAGCTTTACTTTAAATCTGTGGTCAGTTGTAAAATATTGCAAAATTTCAAGTCGGAATTATTCTCTTCAAATGGGGTTGATTTATAGTTAATCATTTTATGGAATTGGCTGCTTTGTGAAACATTTTTTGTGAAATATTTTTTTGGAAATATAAACCTTCAAATATCTTTTATTTTACCTTGCAGTAGATGGACAGTAATCTGAACGGGGTGGCGATCTATTTTTAGTTCTATTAGATCCCTTTGCTAATTGAACAACACATCTGAAAATATGACTTGTAAGTCACAGTAAAATCATGAAGTGTTGTGTCAAGTAAACAAGTTTAAAATCAGCTGTAATATTAACATTTTAAAATTATCTTTTTACCTATTTCCTAAAAAGTCCCTGCTATTTAAATCGTCACAAGCCTCTTCTGCTTTTCTCCTGTCTTCAAACTCCTGAGGAAATGTTCACATTTATTTTACTATTAAGTACAACACTCTTCATGTTAGCCATTCAAAAACGCCACAATAACAGGTATATCAACATACGGAATTTCAGAGCTATTTCACCAAATTTAATCAATTTATGATTATCTTATGAACATGAGATTATTTTTACAATAGACTGTAAACAGTATAGTATATTCTAAAGTACTCACGACAAAAGAATAACCCTTCTTGATTATAATGTCCAGCAGTTTACCATAGTTTTTGAAAAACTTCTTTATGTCTTGCTCTTGAGTGTCGGAAGGTATTTTACCGAGATAAACTGTGTAAGAACTAGGCATTGTTGAACATTATAGACACATTCTAGAAAAGACAATTTTATTATTTATCACCAATTCAATACACAATCAATTAATAAATATATATATCCGAATAAACTTGATTTCAAAGTAAGTGATACAAGTATGCTAGCAGCTAGCGCGCTTGTATTTAATAATAATACGCGCTGTTAGAGTGGGTCTGACCACACCGCCACTCACATTGCCACAGCTGGTGAAAGAACCCAAGCACTATTGTCTATTAAGCTTTTATGAGCCCTGATTGACTGCTGAGAGTGGTGACGGGTCTGACATTTATTTTGTTTTCCTTATATTCCAGTATGCAGTAAAATTAAGTTATATGATTGTCATGCGATATTTAAGTCACAGCTGCTCGCAATACATTATTGATTATAAAATTGTTAAATAAGCTCGCTATACACTTTTAGATACTAAATGTATATGTTCATATTAGCTCATAATATCGAATACCAATAACAAATAAAATATAAACATGAAGAGGCCCAAAACCAACTCAAGCATGACACCAGATTAAAAACAACATCGCACATATTGTCATTGGAAGCTGCAAGCTTATTATCGTATGATTCCACGTTGATCCGTTATTATGCAATCACCTTCAGGCGGTGTCAACAGATCATGCAAAAAGGGTTTTTGACAGGCTGTGCCCTTACCACAATTAAACTGAACCATTGCCTGATGTAAACATGAGTGTTGGCTAAGTGAGCTGCGCAAGCGCTCACGCATTTGTGTAGATCTGGCTAGTAGCGCTTGAGTAATTTGGCTACAAAAACGTAAATTGTGCGTTACGTAAAGTATCATTTTTTCCCTTCAGATAAAGTGAACAGTACACCCGCGTGTAACCTGCTTCAATGGTTTGTGTGCATGTGTGGTGGAGTGAGTGTAGAATGTAATGATCGACTGAATCTGTTTCTTTTGTGGTATATATATGATGAGAGAAACAGGTGTAAAATGAAAAAAGATATAAATATAAATGGGGGTATTTTCATACGAAAGTGTTGAAGTTTAAGTCCTGCCAGTTATAATTAAGTCCTGCCAGTTATAATTTTAATATTGTCAGGTTGGTGTTGAGCCTTCATGATAGAATGCTTCAATTGGGATTTAATTGAGCCTAGTGAACCTATTTTACCACGTGCATTTGACTGCTCAAGAAACGTATTCCATAGATTTGCCCCTTTGTATGCGAAATTGTGTGATGATTGTGGTGTCACAAATCTGTCATCTCTGAGCTCAGACTTCTAAAAGAGAGAATACATAGATATGGGCTGATGACTCTTCACTTTCTTCATTGTTTCAGAAATGCATCGGTATCTATGTATATTATGTATTGTCATTAGTTCCTTAGATTGGAAAATCGGTTTTGTTGATTCTCTAGAGTGGAATTCTGCCCCAAGTATTTGGCAGCGATGTGGCCTTACTTGTCTATCACCAGTCTTCCTCAAGCTGATACATAAAGAACACGGTTTAATGTGAGGTATAGTTGATTCATTGGATATTTGACCTTTCTTGTTAATACTGCACTGAATTGGCCTGCTACGAGAACTTAACAGGTTTTAAACTTGTCGCTAAATACTTTTAGTCTGAGTCCCCAAACTAAACAGGATTCGGACACATTTCTTTTGTGCAAGGAATAGCGGTGAAAGCTTATTAATTGATACACCACCCCATACAGTTACACCGTATCCTATATGAGATTCAAAGAAAGTGTGGTATATTTGTTTGTACAGTTGGCTGGGGAGTAAGTTTTTATTTGATAAATACGGCCACATATGCTGTTTAATTTCTTAGTCAGTTTCTCGATATGAGGCTAGTAAAACAAAATTTTTAGTAAAACAAAATTTTATTTACCACAAAACAATCAATACATATTTAATATTATTATACATTGACAAATAAATCTAAATTTAAATTCAGCTATATACACAATACACAGCCCGCCGCGCAGACAGCCACACATTGCTGAGAGATTCTCAGGTGCAGATGTAAGCGCCGCGCGCGCGAGGTTTGTTATCTTACAATTACATGTCACGATGACCTAGGAAGGTTCCTTATTAAAGCTCATGAACGAAGATTCCCTAAAGCGTCCTCCAAACAAATTCCCTAACATTAACAATATTGCAAAATTATAATCTAAGACTCGGAACACTTTTAGATAAGTTCATTTAAATTATTAAGTATTTTGAATCTCACTCTTAAGATTTACGGGGTTCATTGTATATATATATACTTCACGACAATCTGTTGTAAAACAGGGGTTCCAGAAAACCCACTTCCCGATACTCCTGAAACATGAAATTTTTTTACAGTCGATTTGGACGAGGTTGCAAGACGCCCTGCAAAGTTTCAGATCTCTAACTCAATTTTAACATGGTTTTTAAGGCACCTGAATATGGCGATTTTGGGTTTTTTACCTAATTTCGTATAACATGCTGGCACGTATTTTGCGCAAATTTCTTAAAAACCTTCACATAACTATTTCTTATTCCTGTCATCTTTAACATTGAATTAAAATGTTTTGAACTTAAATATACCTGCTGAACTACTTTCGATGAGTCTTAATGCCTGGAAAACAATAAAGGGGATATACTAGTATAGGGGGTAAATAGTATTGTGAATATAAGGGCGACGGTAATGCTTGCCAGCATTGTGATCAGGACCGTCGACGAGTCCAACTCGGCGCGCGTCCTGGTACTGGTAGGTTATAAACCTACAAAGCCTCACGACAAATCGCAATTTTTTCAGTTCTCCGATCGCGTCAAATTGCGCATTTTCTTTTAAATCTGAGGACCAAATTTTCGTATTTTTCTTCAAATCTGTGAGCCAAATATCACGTTTTCTATAATTAATATACGAAACCAATCAGTATCACATACAATTTTTATATTATTATAATAATAAGACTTATATTTCAGAGGAAGAGGAAGTTGTTGTAAATCATTGTCATACTGATTATCCCAACGTCTACTTCAACGGACAGAACTGTTGTAAATCGAACATGGAAAAGTTCTACGAGCCTCAGGGTGCCCAATGTGACGGCAGTGTGATTCAGAGAGACAGTTTGTGTTGTGCGGGAGACCAGTACACGTCGTGCCCCGGTGGAAACTGTAGGAGCAACCCGTCACCCACACCAGGTGAGTTGGTCGTATAAATATAATTAGTATAATTAGTATAATTAGTTTATAGGCTTCAAATCTTGATATCCTTTAATTCGTCCGGAGAGAGGGATGCAAGTTGATCGTACGGACTTCGTAAACCTCAACAAAAAAGGCATTTTAAGAGAAGCACCGCATCTATTTGCTATGTGCTTCTTTAAGAGAAGCACCGCATCTAGTTGCTAGGTGCTTCTTTCAGATCAGCACCGTATCTAGTTGCTAGGTGCTATTTTAAGAGAAGCACCGTATCTAGTTGCTAGTTGCTTTTTTAAGAGAAGCATCGTATTTAGTTGCTATGTGCTATTTTAAGAGAAGGTCAAGGTAAGGGTCGGTTGTCGGGGGGTCAATTGTCGGGCGGTCAATTGTCGCCCACCCGGTGCTTCTCTTAAAGAAGCACATAGCAACTAAATACGAAGCTTCTCTTAAAAAAGCAACTAGCAACTAGATACCGTGCTTCTCTTAAAGAACCCTAACCCTAACCCTATCCCTAACCCAAACCCTAACCCTAACCCTGACCCTGACCCAGGACTCTGACCCTGACCATGACCCTGACCCTGACCTTAACCCGATCAATTGACCCTAGTGTCGGGGGGTCAATTGTCGGGGGGTCAATTGTCGGGGGTCAATTGTCGTACTAAACCCTAGATTTCGCGACAATTGACCCCAGTGTAATTACATAGGGGTTCAATTGTCGGGGGTCAATTGTCGGGGGTCAATTGTCCAGTAGTATATAATAGAACATTTTGATTTCCTAATCTTTTTATTATACAATTTTTATATTATTATAATAATAAGACTTATATTTCAGAGGAAGAGGAAGTTGTTATAAATCATTGTCCTACTGATTATCCCTACGTCTACTACAACGGACAGTACTGTTGTAAATCGAACATGGAGAAGTTCGTCGACCGTCAGGGTGCCCAATGTGACGGCAGTGTGATTCAGAGAGACAGTTTGTGTTGTGCGGGAGACCAGTACACGTCGTGCCCCGGTGGAAACTGTGAGAGCAACCCGGCACCCACACCAGGTGAGTTGGTCGTATAATTAGTATAATTAGTATAATTAGTTTAAAGGCTTCAAATCTTGATATCCTTTAATTCGTCCGGAGAGAGGGATGCAAGTTGATCTTACGGACTTCGTAAACCTCAACAAAAAAGGGCATTTTAAGAGAAGCACCGCATCTATTTGCTATGTGCTTCTTTAAGAGAAGCACCGCATCTAGTTGCTAGGTGCTATTTTAAGAGAAGCACCGTATCTAGTTGCTAGTTGCTTTTTTAAGAGAAGCATCGTATTTAGTTGCTATGTGCTATTTTAAGAGAAGGTCAAGGTAAGGGTCGGTTGTCGGGGGGTCAATAATTGTCGGGCGGTCAATTGTCGCCCACCCGGTGCTTCTCTTAAAGAAGCACATAGCAACTAAATACGATGCTTCTCTTAAAAAAGCAACTAGCAACTAGATACCGTGCTTCTCTTAAAGAACCCTAACCCTAACCCTATCCCTAACCCAAACCCTAACCCTAACCCTGACCCTGACCCAGGACTCTGACCCTGACCATGACCCTGACCCTGACCTTAACCCGATCAATTGACCCCAGTGTCGGGGGGTCAATTGTCGGGGGGTCAATTGTCGGGGGTCAATTGTCGTACTAAACCCTAGATTTCGCGACAATTGACCCCAGTGTAATTACATAGGGGTTCAATTGTCGGGGGTCAATTGTCGGGGGTCAATTGTCCAGTAGTATATAATAGAACATTTTGATTTCCTAATTTTTTTATTATACAATTTTTACATTATTATAATAATAAGACTTATATTTCAGAGGAAGAGGAAGTTGTTATAAATCATTGTCCTACTGA